AAAAAGAGGCGATGTTTACATGAGGGGTTGGTTCATACAGGTGACGGTCTCCTCCAACCCCAACCTCTGACAGACGACCGAATCTACACGACCCACGGCGGCGCACCGCCAGCCTAGCCAAGGTCTCAGAAATGTACCCCGGTACTAGCAGCACATAGCTTTCTGTGACTCGCTGACCAATCGACGCCTTCGTTACATAACACATCACCGATTTCTTCCAAGGTAAACTTCTCTTAGTGGTACCTAGTACATACCTATCTTCAAGCTATTTTTAAGTATTTTAACACGCCTTTGACATAGAAAATTCGTGTCTTTAACGTGTCATGTGGATTTATATTCAAAATATTCTACATTTACGTCTTCCGTTGTGGTATTCAATGGTTTTTACCGTAAAGTTTAAGTAAGTGCTATTTTTAGTTTCATAAACAGGCGAGTATCAATATCACATTTAGTTTGTGTCATAACATGGCTTTTAAGTTAAAATTATTTAAGTACTGTGGGGTTTTTTTTAAGTCAAAATAAGCTTCTACTGTAGATACTATCTACCATCTAATCACGGACTATAAGTAGTTCTATTTGCGTTTCTTTTTTTTACTTTCTCGTATATACGTAGTATAGAGAAAGTATTGTAATCGTGCAAAAAAAAATCGAGATTTTTACAAATCTCGACGTTTTACACCTCACTGATACGGAAAAACATAATTTTGCAATCTTGTCCGTATGTCTGTGTGTGTGTCTGTCTGTCTGTGTGTCCGAGTGTAAACACGATAACTTGAGTACCGTTACAGCTAGGTTGATGAAATTTCATATATAAGTATTTTATCAAAATCGTAGATCCGTATCAACTTTTGAGCGATTTCCGATAACCGGAAGTGGTACTTTTTCTACTTTGAATTTTTCAAAAGCCTATAACTTGAGTACTATTTCAGATAGATAAATGAAATTTCACATGTAAGTAAAAGATCTAATTCTCTACCTTCTGTTAAATTGTGAGTAATTTCCGTTGACCGGAAGTAGTAATTTACGCTACTTCCGATTTCTCAAAAAACTAATGTAAATTTTAAAAGTACTAATAATATTGCGCACTATTATGCGCTTTTTTATTTCGCGTTCACTTGGTGTGCAATTAATTTGTCTACGAGATTTTATTCTATTTTTAAAACTTTAAGTATTTAAAATGGATTAAAAATCATGTCTATAGCCCGAGTTCCCATCCCCTGTTATTTTATATAAAAATATTCGAGAAAGTTTAGGGGAGATCACTCCCGGTTTATTTGTATCTATCATTGTTAGAATATTCGCTTAAAGCTTGGTTAGAGTATCGAACCAAGGCGGGGCGCTATGAGCTGCGGCACACAGGTGGGGCGCTATGGGCTGCGGCACACAGGTGGGGCGCTATGGGCTGCGGCACACAGGTGGGGCGCTATGGACTGCGGCACACAGGTGGGGCGCTATGGGCTGCGGCACACAGGTGGGGCGCTATGGACTGCGGCACACAGGTGGGGCGCTATGGGCTGCGGCACACGGGTGGGGCGCTATGGGCTGCGGCACACAGGTGGGGCGCTATGGGCTGCGGCACACAGGTGGGGCGCTATGGGCTGCGGCACACAGGTGGGGCGCTATGGGCTGCGGCACACAGGTGGGGCGCTATGGACCGGGGCCGTTAGGTGTCAGAGTTTATTATTTAAAAAATACATTATTTTAAGAAACTTGATGGGGAAATGTAAACCATTCTATTCTTGTTTTGTAAGAACGTAAAGAAAGTTCGCTATCATAATGCAAATCACGCTATATACAAATTATTATTAAATACCCTTATTATTATTTAATTTTTTTATCTTGCCTGCGCTAAATAATAAAGTGAGTAGTGTCTTTGTCAGCTGATTTAGTGGTATAAAAGCCCAAGAGTTGCGTTATGGAAGTAGTTAAAAATACGCAAAACATGTTATCGCTAAATTTAAATGTTATAACCTTGATTGCACTGCGCCACAACATGCGTGTGACTAATATATCAGGATCTGCAAATCTGTGTATCCGCGGATTTGTGTTAGTGTAGGTGTCAGGATTTATAAGTTTGTTCATTGGTGTTAGTATATGTTGTGTACTTGTTGATTTGTGTTAGTGTAGGTATTGGATCTGGAAGTTTGTAGATTCGTGCTAGTATAAGTACTAGTCTGTGTACCTATTGTTTTGTGCTAGTGTAGGTATTGGATCTAAAAGCCAGTGTACCTATTGTTTTGTGCTAGTGTAGGTATTGGATCTAAAAGCCAGTGTACCTACTGTTTTGTGCTAGTGTAGGTATTGGATCTAAAAGTCCGTGTACCTACTGTTTTGTGCTAGTGTAGGTATTGGATCTAAAAGCCAATGTACCTACTGTTTTGTGCTAGTGTAGGTATTGGATCTAAAAGTCCGTGTACCTAATGATCTGTGCTAGTGTAGGTATTGGATCTAAAAGCCCGTGTACCTAATGATCTGTGCTAGTGTAGGTATTGGATCTAAAAGCCCGTGTACCTAATGATCTGTGCTAGTGTAGGTATTGGATCTAAAAGCCCGTGTACCTAATGATCTGTGCTAGTGTAGGTATTGGATCTAAAAGCCAGTGTACCTAATGATCTGTGCTAGTGTAGGTATTGGATCTAAAAGCCCGTGTACCTAATGATCTGTGCTAGTGTAGGTATTGGATCTAAAAGCCCGTGTACCTAATGATCTGTGCTAGTGTAGGTATTGGATCTAAAAGCCCGTGTACCTAATGATCTGTGCTAGTGTAGGTATTGGATCTAAAAGCCCGTGTACCTAATGATCTGTGCTAGTGTAGGTATTGGATCTCAAAGTCCGTGTACCTATTGTTTTGTGCTAGTGTAGGTATTGAATCTAAAAGCCCGTGTACCCAATGATATGTGCTGGTGCTCACGTTTTGATTTAGCTAGGCGGTGGGTGAACAAATCGAGCGCCATCCTATTGTAGAAGCAGAAACAAGAAAAACGTATGAAGGGGGAATAATTTCGGCTGTAAACAAACTGTTTTACATAACAAAGATGGCACGACCTACTTGAGACAGAGTTTTAGAAAGGATCTCAAACTAAATTACTTGCACATTCCTGATCTATATCCATGTATTATCTAAACAGTTTAAAAAAAAAGATGAGTGGATTAGAAAGAAAATTGATGACCAAATTTGTAAATATGTGTTAAGATATGTCAGCATTAGTTTGCTTTAACATAGTATATAACCCGTGTGTCAAGGGCCCACTTTTCTACAAGTTAAGAACCCTTTCTTCCCAGTGTTTATGTTAGTAAGCTGGGGTTAATTTGTCAAGCCGTGTTGTAAGAATACAACGAGCTTCTGTCCTGGTGGAAAAAAATGTCAACTCGTCACTAATGACAGGACCTTGGTAAGTTCATCTACACATACCGGTTGTTTGTGTTTCTTATACCAATCTTGTGTTGGTGGTGTCCAGCGCAGGTCTGTTCTACACGGTGACAACATCAAACAGTCACCAAACTTATACCAATCTTGTGTTGGTGGTGTCCAGCGCTGGTCTGTTCTACACGGTGACAACATCAAACAGTCACCAAACTTATACCAATCGTGTGTTGGTGGTGTCCAGCGCAGGTCTGTTCTACACGGTGACAACATCAAACAGTCGCCAAACTTATACCAATCTTGTGTTGGTGGTGTCCAGCGCTGGTCTGTTCTACACGGTGACAACATCAATAAGTCGTCAAACAGTTTTGTTGAGACTAACCATTACCTACTGGCTTACGATATAAGTGCTACTGCTAACTGTAACCAGAAGAGCGACAACTTGATCAAAAGCAAGCTAATGCAAACTATAACCAGAACGACAACTAGATTCTATATCAAAAGCAAAAATGGAGCTATTTCAAAATGAAGGAATTAGTTTTTGGGATCGCCGCTGTTAAATAAACTATGTCTATTGGTTGTCTTGCTTTCTGCAGCACAAGCGGCCATACAGTAAACATATGTGGCAAAAATTGCACGGCTAGTTACTGATGTGAACCTTTGCAAAGAAACGTTTCATGCCTAGGTAGTGAAGTGACCGTGGCGATAAACAGCTAACCAACTTATACACGACACGGTTTAAAACCATAAGGATTGGTTACGATACAGAGCCAGTGTTGGTTTCCTGCCTCTATGTACACGTCGGCTAGGAAAACTATAGCTCGCACTGTGATCTGTTTAAGTTGAGGCGACATTAAGAGAAGTCCCAGATCGAAACAGCCAGACGACCATTGTGGGGGAGTTTCAGCTCAAATCTAGAGATCGAAAACACATTGAAAGACACATACGAAACTGGTCGACACGGTGGATCTTTTGTGTGCTATGTTAATAGTTCGCGGACCCGAAAACGGGGACGAAAACAACAAAAAGGCCCGGTAGATTTCCATGGCTAAAATCCTGGTTCAGACATACGTCATCATACGATGTCTGCTGTGTATTTCTAAAAACAATAGTACTCTTAGATTACACACATGCAATCATGTTACTTGTCGGTTACACACGGACTCATGTGACTGCTCAGCTACACAGTGAGAAATGTGAATGGGCAGCTACCCAGGGAGACATGTTGATGGGAAGCTACCCAGGGAGAAATGTGGATTGGCAGCTACACAGGGAGAAATGTGGATTGGCAGCTACACAGGGAGAAATGTGGATTGGCAGCTACACAGGGAGAAATGTGGATTGGCAGCTACACAGGGAGAAATGTGGATTGGCAGCTACACAGGGAGAAATGTGGATTGGCAGCTACACAGGGAGAAATGTGGATTGGCAGCTACACAGGGAGAAATGTGGATTGGCAGCTACACAGGGAGAAATGTGGATTGGCAGCTACACAGGGAGAAATGTGGATTGGCAGCTACACAGGGAGAAATGTGGATTGGAAGCTACCCAGGGAGAAATGTGGATTGGCAGCTACACAGGGAGAAATGTGGATTGGCAGCTACACAGGGAGACATGTTGATGGGAAGCTACCCAGGGAGACATGTGGATTGGCAGCTACACAGGACTCGTGTAACACACCCGAGTGAGGGGGTCGTATGACTAAGTAACATCAAATGAATACAGGGAAATCAATCAAGAATAACTTGCTAGAGTTCCAGTCAACCGTAACGTAAAGCTGTTAAGAATGCAGTCAAGTGTGAACATTTAGACTGGATGGCCCAACAACTTTTTATGTTTTCATTTCAGTATTCTTTGTAAGACATTGAGAAAAAAAAATGCAACCATTCCTTAACTTATGACAACTGTGCTTAATGCCACAGCAGGGGGAAAATGTGTTTACGGCCACCATAGTATTAATAGAGATCTACATTTAAAAACTTTAATAACTTGAATAAGCTGGTAAAACGTTCTGATAGAAAGAATCGGGATTTCCCTGAGACAACTCAATAGTTCCCCCTCAGTGAACGTAAACAAGATCTAAAACAACTCAGCCAAACGCTAGCGTTGGTGGGGAAGTTAGGCGCAGGGTTTCTTTTAAACATTTTTGCAGAGAAGGGGCGCAATTAGGGTGGTATACATTTTACGTGTTTGTTTGGTGGTTCTTATTGCCGAATAGTGAAATATGTCGTAGTTTATGTAACAGTATCCCAAGGCATTGCTGTACGGACCACGCCTACTCCGCTGTGATATATTAAACAAATTTTCTGTCCCTTGTTGTCCTAGTGAAAAGGTTTATCTTTTTACAGCGCCCATGTTGTCCATTTGCAATTGTATTTGTCTGTTCACAGCGCCCCTGTTGTTCTAATGTTATTCTATTTGTTTACAGCGCCCCCTATTGTCCTAATGTTATTGTATTTGTTCACAGCGCCCCCTGTTGTCCTAATGTTATTGTATGTGTTCACAGCGCCCCTATTGCCCTAATGTTATTGTGTGTGTTCACAGCGCCCCCTATTGGTCTAATGTTATTTTATTTGTTCACAGCGCCCCCTATTGTCCTAATGTTTTTGTATTTGTTTACAGCGCCCCCTATTGTCCTGTTATTGTATTTGTTCACAGCGCCCCTATTTGCCCTAATGTTATTGTATTTGTTCACAGCGCCCCCCATTGTCCTAATGTTAAATTGTATTTGTTCACAGCGCCCCCTGTTGTCCTAATGAAACAGCCTAAACTGAGGGTAATGCCGAGGCCTGTGCCAACCAATCGACCATCCAGCAAGCTGACCTCACACACCAGCCCACACTGCAGCTAGCGCAGGAACCAGCCCCCACCCGCCCAGCAACTAGATCTTGATGTATGGTTGTGAAAAAATGACCCGCGTCCACCTCACTGTCCTCGTGGTGGCCATCTTGGCAAGGGCCGGCTACTCCGTGCTGGACGAGACGCCCCTGAATGTCGTTCCTTTCGAGGTGGCCGTTCAGGCAGGAGAGAACGTGACGTTCGTCTGTGTGCCCAAGGAGGGCGCGGTCAACCATAGCGAGCCGGTCATCTACCACTGGGCCAGGGTCAACCTGAGCAACCCCAACATCACGCACAATCTGACCTCGGGTGACAAGTTCAGTGTGGTTAACGAAACCCTTTCCATCCTGCTCCCCACCAAGTCTGAAGAGGGCGCATACAGATGCACTCTGGGAAATTTGACATCCGACGGGATTCTGATCATCTACCACATGCCTGACTACCTGGTAGAGGGCGCTGTTATCGGGGCAATATGTCTGCTCTTGTTCGTACTACTGACGGCTGGCATTGTCATAGCTTTCATGAGACAGTACAGAGCAAGAAAGGCGAGACAAAACAAGAGAAGAGAGAAGGATATTAAAAACGGCTTTGTACCACACTAGCTCCATCTGACAGAACAGCTAATTTATTTGTATTAATTTAACCATTCATTCCAGCAAAGTTCTGAGTTATGAGGGATGATAGTTAGATGTAGATTGGCTACGGTTTACAACCAAGCTGTAACTCAAGAAACATCACTCTCCTGTCTATTGGCTATCGTTTATGGTCCCTGTATTTACTAGCTCAAACACTTATGTCTTTCTCCAGCTAAAGGCCTATACAATTTACCCCTTGAGCAAACTGCATGTTTTAGTAAATCACACTGTCATACAGACAATATTTTGTCACACACCTGTTTCGGTATAACATAAGGGAAATGCCAGATCTATGCTGCTAAATCAGCCATCAAGAATACTATGCTGTTGGTTTTTTTTTTTAATTTATTATGGTGATCAAAGTTAATCCCAAAAATCGTATAGAAAGGAGGGGGCTGTAGGACAATGGTATATCTGAAACCAGGCCTAATGTTTATAATCCTAATTGTATCTGTATAATTTTATTTTTGTTTTATGAACATTTTATCTACTAACAAATATTTTAATGAGTTTAACTTATAAACTCATAATGGGGTTCAAATGTCTTATAATCATTAAATGTAACTGTTTTTAAAGCTATTTTTTAAATAATCACTTTTAAAGCCTGGAGCAATGTCTCAGGTAAAGAGATTTTACCATATAAAATGTCCAGGATATATCTTCAGATCTTACATAAATAAAAAGTTTTAACATGTATTTGCTGGCAAAGAAAACCTTCAATAGTTCAGGCTTGAGCTCAACTGTGAAACTATGATTGTAATCATCTTGAAAACTGCCTTTTAAAACTGTAATTATCATCATGTTGAAAACTGACTTTTAAAACAATTGTCATGGGAAAACTGCCTTTAAAACATTAATTAAAAAACATTAATTTAAAACATTAATTATCATCATGTTAAAAACTGATTTTTTAACTATGATTGTCATTGTGTTGAAAACTGACTTTTTAAACTATGATTGTCATCATGTTGAAAACTGACTTTTTAAACCATGATTATCGTGTTGAAAAATTGTTTAGTCAACTTCTGGTTTTTAAGATTTTTTAAACAAATAATTTAAATAAGAATGTATTCCATCTTTGTTATTATAAAAATGCGTTGAATGATTTTAAACAAATTAAAATATGAATTTTTACATCATTATTATTTATAAAATGTGTTATACATTAATGGCTTAAGCATAGCAGATGATCCCACAACTAGCCTGATAATCAAAATAGCTTTGCTATAAATATTTTGATTAACATGAGTGGTCTATTCTTTGGGTTATAATTAACCAGTCCAAGGTGAAGGTTAAGCACACTTTAAACTGGCCAGTTAAGTCCACATGCATGTCTGTGTGTAAACACCTCTATTTACCTAACCCTGACCTCAGATTTTTTTCTCATGTTTTTTTAATAAACCTCAAACGTGTGGCTCTAGAGAGGGGATCAGATGATAGTCCATACAGATCAGTGTATGTACACAAACCAGAAGATACAGGTAGGACAGACAGGTAGATACAGATAGGACAGACCAGCAGATACTGGTAGGACAGACTAGCAGATACTAGTGCCACAGACTAGCAGTAATGATAACTTTACAGCTGACTTAAATTTTGTGCATCTTTTCCCCCACAATGACCACCATCCATTAAGTCTGGTCTTGGTAAAAAAAAAAAAAAAAAAAACCCTTCTAATGGTCAGGTTTGTATCAGTTACTACACAGTAAAGTAAGTTGAACATAATCTTAAGTTACGGAGTGTCACTGAACGTTTTTTACACAAGCATGATGGTATTGTCAAATAAGGCCAAGGTTTGGTGTTTATTTACAAGCCCATTCTTACAAAACTAATTTTCACCAACACATAAATAATAGAACCCACCGAAATTTTTACCCCGGAAAATACTAACTTGAGTGTGAACGGAAGCCCCTCCCACTTTGCCCACAATGGGATTAAACTGTAGAACTACAGCAGATGACATTTTTGTGCAAGCTACAGCTGAACTCACTGAACAACAGGGGAAATAAGCCAGCACAGCATTACAAGGAACAGACGTTTAAGCATGGAACTAATCTAACAAATGCCTTTTTTAATTAAGCTTTGTTTGAGAGTTAAAGGTAAACTAATTGTTGCTGTTAAAGACTTCTTTAACAAAAATGAATTTTAAAAAACCTTTGCAACCAACTTCACAGTTCTTATAACATACTTTTTTAAGTACATGGTAAAGTAGTAATACACAAAAATAAAAATGGAGTACTTTAAAAAATACAGAGGTAGGAAATGATAAATAAGACTAAACACACTGGAAACAGGACAAGGTAGAACTAATCAACCACTGAATAATAAGTCAAGCTTCAGTTTAACTATACTTCTATAATCTTTTTTTAAGTATAAGATTTCCATGATTTATATAAATTCATCCCATTTGATAATACAATATATCAAATATTTTATCTAACCAAGATCTTAAAATAGGTTGTCGCTCAACCTACTTTTTGAAGCTGTTGCCTTGGTAACAATACTGATTAGATTATAACAATGAATGTTTAGTGTTTGTTATGCACTTTCCGTGTACTGTATATTCCTTCAATACAGGAAGAATTAGGAAGATAGTGTAGCTATTTACATCTTGTATGATAAATAATGTATTTTATATTCTAAAAATTTGGTCGGAAATAATAAAAATATTCCTGACCCAGAAGACAATTTTGAGATCGAGACAACAGCCAACTAAACCTGCCCATTTTGTCCCCCATATATGTGTATGGAAACAACTCTAGAAGATGACACATTTTTGCTCTATGGTCAATTGTCACAACAACATTCCTTAAAATGAATCCACTGTAGGCCTAATCATTATAACCATTTAATAACATGCATTTTTATAAATAAAAAAGAGCATTTTCTAGTCTACCTATTTATTTTGATAGTGAAAACCGGTATCAAGTTAAAGGTAAGCAAACAGTAAGCAAACAAATTGTTAAAAATCTTCTTAAACAAAAATGAAGTTTAAAATCCTAGGCTTTACTTTAGAAAAATATCTCAAAAGGCAGAAGGGGGGATAAGCCAGTAAACACAGTCTGTGGTGGAAATTTAGAGGAGTAGCTGGTACTGACACCATCAAGCATATCCTTAGCAATACATTAATTAATATTGTAGGGGAAATGAGGTGTGAAAAAAATTAATATAATTAACTTGTTAACTTATTGGGAATATGAACGTATATTTCTCTTCTGTAAATCAAATGATGGCAAACATTAAACTGTTTATTTAGAGCTCATGCAAACTTATTTGTTCTGTGTTAATAATTTCCAGTGTTTACTTTTATAGAGTGCAAACAATGCTAAATTACAGACAATACCAAAATGATTGCAGAAAATAGCAGACCCATACACAAACTTTAAGAAAACCATAAATAATACCAACTTTATGTGATAGTAAATTGTTTACAATAAAGCTACTTACGTTTAAGGTCCCTCAGTTGAGACTCCATGCTACGAGTCCTAGCAAATAGAGAAATGTAGTACATTACAGCATGCAAAACAAATTATTAATACTGGGAGGAATTCTATGCAAATTAAATATCTATTTTAAAGATTCTTAAAGCAGTTGCATAACTTTTAAATTCAGATATGAGAGATAAAAAAACAGCAACAACTGAAAGAGATCATTGGGAAAATTATAAATATATCTTAATCTGATGGACGTTCTTTTTTAAGAGATGCCAGACAGGCATAAATACACAGCTGTCCTAATTCATAGGCCTTGAGAGTACCTGCCCATTTGATAGCTACATGGGTTATAAGAGTCAAACTCTGAGCTGACAAATTTTAAAATCAATTTTTTTTTAAAAAAAGCTTAAAAGACTTTTGAAAATACAATTCAAAAATAATATTCAATCAAACAGTTCATTTCTGTTAACCACCTTGTATATAAATATAATCAGCTTCTAGTCTTAAGGTCAAATTAACTTCAGGAAATTAATTTAGTGGACGCTTATTGAATAAACACTTCTTAGATGAGTAAAGTGCTGCATGAGGTCAGACAGCTAATTTTTTTGTTGCTGACTGCCTTCAGGGGAAAGGCCTAACAATCATGTAAACAGACCTCTTTTTTCTTATTTAAAAGAGAAAACAACATTAACCTTGACATTTTCTGTGAGCTATATATATCTGAAAGCTTCTTTAACGTAAACTTAACTAATGATTAGTTCAAGTTTTGTCACTATTACAAAACTTGGTCATGGCATCTAGGGTTAGTGTAAGAGGAGAAAATTGTGTACAGCGTAACTTTAAAAATTTAGAATTAAATTTCATGAAAATTGAAAGGAAGCGTTCATAAATGAACATATAAAGTGCAAAGAACTGTTGTTTCTAATAAAACATCCAAATGAAGTACCTACTGGCCAAAAACGGACAAGTTATCACAGCATAAATACTATCGCACTCAAGCTGTTTACTCAAGGTTTAAATCCACACTGAATTATTTCCAAATTTTTCTGATTTAGTTTATATTTACTAACATAAAACATTTACGTACTTGGTAGTTAAACTTGCATTTTGTCTTTTGAGGTTAGCTATAGTGATCTCAAGAGTCTTGTTGTGCTCATCCAATGCACTCCTTTGACTTCTAATTGCCTAATTAAAGGAAAAAAAAACATGCAAAATTTATTAGAATCAGACAATTTTTTCTAAAAATGTAGTTAAAGATCTCTAGATAGGAATGATTTATTAACTGGTCTAACCTCTTCTGCTTCCAACTTGTCATGCAACAATCTAACTTCATTTGTTTTTTCTTTTAACTCTCTTTCAAAGCGTTCTTTTTCCTACAAAAAGAAATACAGCATAATAAATAATGGCTTGAAAAAATGTAAATAACAATCTATATATATAAAATTCTCTATGTGGACACCACTTTGCATGTAAGCAGATTCTCTAACCCTGCTCCCTCGCTCTCCAGGTCACCCCTACACCAACCAGTGGTTCAGGCCGAATGTTTACAATCGTAGAGCCGGGTCAAATTAGTGATGGTTATTAGGGGCTGATTATTTTGTTTTTAAATTATTTGAAACTAAGGGGAGGTAACAAGTTCTGCTTGATCTTTTCTTTGACGTCTGTAAACTGTCACAACAGACTGCTGCTTTCACAGGGACAAGGAAAGGGAGGGCGAGGATAATCTACCTTCACTAAATAGCGGGTCGGCTCATTGTTTTACAAAATATAACTTCAACAAAGAAATAAATTAAATAAATCACTCACCTCTTTAAGAGGTTTAATATTCTGCATTGCAGATTGAAGCTGTTCAGACAGAAGATTCGAGTCTCTGAAATTATACGGATGACTTTAAAAATGTCTAAATTAAGTTTTTTTAAAGAAACGTGGAATATGAAAATAAAAGGAAAATATGCAACAACGTATAACACAGCTAATTAAAGTGCCCAACAAAACAAAATAGAGATTTTTTCAAATACCTGGTGGTTCTATCCAATTCTTTATTGAGATGTTCAACATTCCTCTGCAGCAATTCACACTGTTAGTTAAGTTAAGGAATATATATTTCACAATTTTGGGTAATGAACATTAAAGGAATGTAGCTTGCTAAATGGAAAAGACATTTATTTTAAATGGTTTTTTTTTAAAAAGCAACCTCTCTTTTTAATTTAAATTTACATATTTTATTCAATTTCTATCTTATCCGTTTAATAGCTATTTACTATCATGGAATTAGGATGAAAAATATTATTTAAATAAGAGAATATATTATCTGAAATGTAATGTATTACAAAATATGTTTCATTTAAAGAATGAACCGTTTCATTTTAATTATATTTATAATAATATATTTTTATCTATATATATAATTCTCTTCTGGGAGACGTTAGAAAACAAGCTGCAAGTGCACCTTGCAGTCCCCTCTTTTCCTCTCTATCACTACCACCCCCCACATGGTCTGGTGAGCTGTAGTTCACTCTAAATGTTTACAATCATACAGCCGGGTTTAGTGACGGCTATTAGGGGCAGATAATTTAGTTTGAAACCATTTTAAACTTAGAGGAGGTAACTAAGAGGAGGCTGCTTTCAAGGGGGGGGGGGGGGTGTATAGGGTAGGGGTTGGGGGAATATTTAAAGCAAATATTTTCAGTGGCAACATTGGTATGTCGAATTCACAAATTATGAATTACTGAAAAGTAGTAAATAAAACAACTAAATAGCGGCTTATGATACGCCGTGGGTCGGCTCGTAATAGAATAAAATAAAAAGGATATCATCTTGTTTGGCTTTAGATCTTCTAATCAATAGGCTGGGGAAGAGAAATATAGTATATTACGCCAAGTACACAAAACACAAAAATTAAATCTTAAAAAATTACATTTTTTACAGCTTAAAATATTAATACGGGTTTGCATTAGGCAAACACAAAATTGTATGTTCAGATCAGAAAGTTTTCTAACTATTAATAACAAACTTACTCAGTAGAAATTACTTTCTTTTTCAAAATCATGAAGTTAAGGCTGTGCTCTTTACTCAGACGATCAATTTCCTATTAGAAAAAATATTAGAAAAATATAATCAAGGGAGAATAATTAAGATTATCTGACCATGTCTACTATATCATTACTATGTGGGCTATAATACTATAAAAATTAAAAAAGGTTACTGAATAGAATTGGCTGAAAGCAGTTCTGACTCGCACTATTTTTACCCTACCTACTTAGCACAATCATCCAGCAGTGAAATATAGCTGTTAAACTTATTAATATGAAAAATTTATGTTTGAGATGCAAGTATAACTGTAATCCACGAGTAAAACTAGTTATAACATTGCAGCAACCACTTTGTATATTCTATCTACCGCAACACTAACCTAGAGATGTAACTGACCACCTAAATTTCAATGATTTACAAGTGCTATGCATGTGAAAGTCTGTTAATAATTGTACATGTCTACTTATTCCAGCTGCCCAATGGGAATCTCCCAACCGATCACACCTATTTTTGCAATACAATTCATAGACATTGGCTTATCAATTATTCAATACTAGATTTAGTTGCTACTAGAACTAAAAGCTAACTAGATGTAGGATTTTTTATCAAATTTTGCTCACTACTAGATTAGATACTAATACCAGGGATAGATCTAGATCTTAATCTAGTATTAATAATAATGGTAATCTATTGTTTTAGGTACGTAAAATAGGTTATGGCTTGTAATGTGAAAGGTGACTCTTTAAATTTTGGTAATAATTTCACATTTTAAGGAGGATTTGTGTTTTAAAAGTTACAGATATTGTTTCATACCTGTTTTTAAACAATTTTATTAAAAAACCTTTTCTGTATTAAAAAAAAGATTAGCAATGTTTTTATCAGATGTATCCAAGCTCGTTTACTGAAGCCATCTTTTTTAGGACCATAGCTAAAAAAAATTTGTGAGGGGTGGAATCCCCTGAGCATGATTGCTTGCTTACGTTTACTAGCCCGTGGGTGAAAATTCCGCGGTTGACGGGGTCACTGTGAGTTCAGCAGACCTATAGTACATGTAATAGAATGAACACGCGTACACGAGATCGTCTGTGTCTTCACTCCCCCCCCCTTCATCAAGCAAATTGAAAAACAGACCTATTTCGCTAATTCTGGTCATTTTTTTTAAGTTCACATATCACACATGCTAGACAGCTAGCTGTATAAAAAAAAATTACTAAAGAGCTGTTTGATTTAGCTAGATCTAGGACTATCTTAGATAAAGATTTAGCGTAACAAGTAGCGAACTGTGCAAATGCGGCCTAAACTAATTATTACATTTTTTAAATTATAATAGAGTAGAGCCGAATGGATACAAAGCTAAGACTAATTTTAAAACTTGGCTTAATTTTTTTTTGTCTACACAAAAGGCACACGTTATTTTTAAACTCTTAAAAGATAAAGCAAATGTAGTTTAATGTAGTAAGGTAAAATAATTTAAATATTCAATTTCAACTTGAAGTCGATCTATTTTGATAAAATCTGTCATGAAAAAGAAACACGATAAAAGCTCTCCATCCTGTACTTATACCAATTGTAATTTTAACAGATGAAAATGATGCTAGCGTACTTTTTTTTTTAACTAGATCTACGACTAGCTTAAAAAAAAAAAATAAATGCTTAAAATGCCAGTAAACAGATTATTTAGCGCCAAAAAAAAAAGGCCGCTGAAAGAGCATTGTTTAAAATACGCAGCAATGAAAAAGGCTAACGGCCGATCAATTAAGTCTAAAAATCACCCGTAATTAGGCCTAGCTCTAAAAAAGGCCACTGAACGAGCATCATAAGAAATTATTGTATAACTTAATCTTAACAATTACATTGGCTGGTCGGAATAGTCGCAGAGGCTATTAGGACCCGGGGGTAAAACTCCATTTTAGCGTATTTTATTCTCCGTTGCTTGTTTACCTCCAGTTGAGCGTATTTCATTATAATAACCGAAACACACCAAAACATTAGGAAAACACGATGTATTTAAACTATTTATTTCTATTGTATTTTTGTTTTCACAAATTAATAAAATGAATGTTTAAAAAACACGACTTATTTATTTGTATTGTATTTTTGATTTAACAAATGAATAAAAACAACAAAGAGACTGACTGAAATGCTTTGTTTGTTGGTTACAAAAATAGAAATGCACACTTTGTACAAATGTTCCAATTTCAACTAAACTGAATAAAAGTATTAAAAGGCACAATAATGCTGCCAAAAGTGGGCCGGGGGGGGGGTGATGGAATTTGGTGAGGGATGGCTTGGAGTGTTAGAGAAAGTGAAACAACTCACGTTGTCATTTTAAAAAAATAATGTTAGAGGTCGTCCATAAATGACGCCACACTCGTAGGGGGGAGGGGGGTCCGTAATTTTGTGACGGTGTGTGATGAGGGGAGGGGGGGGGGGGGGTTATATGGTGCTATGTCATTTGGGGGAGGGGGTCTTGCTTTTTGTGACAACACGCTTTTTTTAACAATTTTTTACCCCCCCCCCCCCTCCGTTACACGTCGTCACAAAAAGTCAGACCCCCCCCCCCCCCCCTAAAATGACGGCACATCTCAACCTACAACCCCCCCCCCCCCAAAATTTCTGTTGAATTTTTCTTAATACATCGATATTTTTTCCAAAATCTTGTCAGAATTCCGTCAACATAGAGTATTTTGATCAATTCCTATTACAATTTATTAAAACCGTTTTCTAAAACGTGAAATAACAACTAAAACTCGTTTTTCTAACATTGCTTTTTTATAATGCAAAAAAAGTGACGTCACACCATCTGAAACCCCACCCCCTCCACCTCATAACACACCGTCACAAAATTGTGGACCCCCCCTCTCCCTTACGAGTGTAACGTCATTTATGGACGACCCCACATCAATTTTTTTTTTAAAAGTCAGAAATTTACTCATACAAAAAATCATACTTGATACATATATCAAAATATTGGGAAGGATGGTAGATTTACTATGAATTTAAATAACATACAACTCTATAGTAAAATTATTTTTTTTTCAGTTTTGGCAAAATTGTCAAATTAAAAAACACAGAGTTTGTACATTTATTGCATAAATACAAAAATATAATACAGAATAATTAACAGTGTATCAGTTTCACCATGAGACAAATGCCTTTTAAAAAAAATACAATAGGGGCCTACAAATAAACAAGTCGTGTTTTTTAAATATTCATTTTTATTCATTTGCTAAAACAAAAATACAATACAAAAAATAAATCGTGTTTTCCTAATGTTTTGGTGTGTTTCGGTTGTTATAATAAAATACGCTCAACTGGAGGTAAACAAGCAATGGAGAATAAAATAACCTAAAATGGAGTTTTACCGGACCCGGGTCCCAATAGCAGCCGTGGCTATTGTTGAGACCTGGGTCCAAATAGATGCATCCATTAAAATTTAAGGAGTCACCTGTTTTTCACATTACTAGTCGCGGGCAATTTTACGTACCTAAAAAATCGATAGATAATAGTTTTTCTTACTAAATCTAGAATTTACCCAAATTTCAAATTAAACATGACTACTGAATGATAGACATCCATATTTAATCCATTAGGCACTAATTTTGACGTTTTAGTTCGTTTTAAACGAAATTACTTAATTTAATATTTATTGACACTCACAAAAATGCACAACACACCTCTCCATGACAACTCTTCTTACGCTTGAAGCTAAAGAAAACCACAAATAGGTTAGACTTTTTAAGTGGCCATGTACCGGAAGTTCCCCACTAGTGATCATCAAATAGCGGTCACGTGGTTTAAAAAAATAAATAAATTTGGTTGTCATTCAAAAGTCGTGTCTTATTTTAAAAAGCGCATGCAATATTTGATTTATTTCTTCATATAATGATAAACCTAATAGTTCTACAACCTCCAAATCATTTTTGTGACCTCCGGGCTGATATTTTAGAAGTTCTATTAATTTTAATGAGACCGACTTTTAAATTTAGCCTTCACTCTCCAAAGCAAATTTTAAAATGCTTTTCTGGCATATTTAGCCTTGCCACCTATAGCATGTTTTTATAGCGTGAAAACCCGCCATTTTACTCGTGATAAACATTTTTAAAAGTAATTCTAAGAAGGTCTCTGGGGAACTAAGACGAAAAATCGTCGGAAGTCGTGCATCCGGTCCGTACGCCATATTGTTGTTAGCAACCGGCCACGCCTCTGGGTTAGCGAGAAATACTAATAGATAACCAACTTGTTTAATGTTTACTACTGACACTGAGTGATCATGTCATTCCTTCTTTAGTAGCGAGGCTCACTAACTCGAAAGCGTCCTTGGTTGCTAACCAGAACATGGCTACCACACCTTGGCCTACGATTGGGCAATTTTTTCAGCTTTGTTCGAGAGACCACCTTAACATTAACATTAAAAATAATTATCACGCGAAAAATGGCGTTTTTTTTTGCGTATTTTAAGCTATCTGAAGATGACAAAGCTATTTTTGCCAGAAAAAAAAATTAAAATTTGCTTCCGACAATGTAGGTCAAACGTAAACATGGGTATAGTTTGAGTTGTTTTAAAACTTTAAATAATGGTCTGTTAGGTGTCCAAATGGCAATGTACGGTAGGCTATTATTAGACTGATCGTTTAGTGAAAAAATATTGTAATTATTTTATAACCATTTTAAGAAATCGGCGCCTAAAAAAGGTCACTGAAAGCACGTAATTTTTAATTGTGACGTCATCGCTATTGTGATGAATGCTGTACGGAAGTATGCGCAATAGACGCTAAAAGGGTTGTATATTATTTCAAATGGGCTCACAATTTGGCCTTGATTTCCTGCGTAATTAGGCTAATTGAGAATCATTAGTGATCTTTTACCTGGCCATGTGATGATAGGTATCTTACAAGGCTATAAAAGCCCGCGAAACACATCGATCTACCCTTCAGATTGGTATTGGTGAGAGTATTTGATGCATACTTATTATAGCAAGGATAACTAACTTGAAAGCGTCTCTGGTTGCTAACAACACAGTAGCGTAGCGAGGGGGGGGGGGGGCACGTCCCCGGGCGCCGAGCTTAGGGGGCGCCAAAATGGGTTGGAAAAATAAATTGAAAGGTTGAGGGGGGCGCAAATTGAAAGTTTGAGGGGGGTGCAAATCAAAATCTCGAGAGGGGGGGGGGGGTGCAAATCGAAAGTTTGAGGGGGGGCGCCGGGAAGGGTCGCTACGCCTCTGTAACAACAACATGGCGTCCTAAACCGGACGCTTAGTTTCGGACATTTTTCTTGTCTGCCCAAGTGACTTTATAGGAATTCGTTTTTAAAATGTTTACCTCGTGAAAAATTGCGGTTTTTTCACATAATGTAAACAAACTATAGTTGGCAGTGCTAAATATGCCAGAGAAACGCTATAAATTGTTTTGGATAATGAAGACCGAAGCTCAAAAAGTGGTGCCGACAAACATTCGTAGATCTTTTTAAATATTAGCAACTACGATGTAGATCGGAAACCGAAAGTACATCAATAATAGATTTAACAGTCTGTGTAAAAATAAATCGAATATTACATGCGCTAATTTTTTAAAAAATTCTCCAAAACGGTCACCACCAGAAGTAAAAATTCCATAACCCACGTGACCGCTATTGGGCGGCAGACGTTCGCCTAGGTGGCTCTATCGACTCTTTACTACGTTTGTGTTGACGAGCGTTAAGTGAATATTTTCCAATTTTGATTTTTACATTGCTGGACAAATTAATTAAGTATTTCGATCTGAACACGGGAAGATAGGAATTAGTTGGTATTTCTGTAAAAGCCCGTAAACCTGTGATCTCGTGGTGAAACGCGATCTTGAAAAAGTCTAGGTGCTAAATTATTTACTTGATTTTATTATTACTAATTACTACTAGATCGAATTATAGTTAATATTATTTTCATTTGCTTTCATTTTTATATAATTGATTATTATGATTTAGATCCAGAAGGGCTAGGCTAATAAATTATAATAATCATATTAGAGGACAGCCTGCATAAACAAAAGTTTGCATTCTTAGATCTAGATCTAGTTGACACAGTACAGGGACTTGCGCACACGCTCGCGTGACGAAAGAACGCAAGCGGGCTCGTGACGAATTTGCATAATTTTTCACTCACAAGTGATCAACGTTAATGTGATAGGCGTAGCCTAACAATCTTTAAATAGATCTATCTAGATCTACACACCAGCTCTAGATACAAATTTATGTATTAAAACTCCACCTGGATCTAGCTTCGGACGGGCGATGTTTCTCTCGTTGACAAAACAACGCGAGCGAGCCGTCACTACGCACAGACTATGAGTGGCGATGTTTGGAATGCATTTCTCGCTCACATGTGATGAAATTTAATGCAACGACAGTTTTAAAAATAAAAACAGATATTTTATTATGCCTATATACTTTTTTTTAATATTTAAAACTCAGCCTAGACAAAGCTTCCATGCTGGATAAGGGAGGAGGGTTAGATTCCGCCGTTAACTCAATCTATGTATTATTATGCATAATTGTCCTAATTAAACATTCCTATTTACACTGATTAATCAAGACTGAATAAAACGTGAAAATGAATACCTTTAAAAAGTTTAGATCTATATATTTTTAAACATTTATACGTGATTATTTTTGGTTCATTCATTTGGCGTTTGCTAAAAATATAGTAAATAGATTACATAACCAAGTTACGAGTATCCTTTCGATTTCGTTTTATTGCAGCATACCTCCACTTCCCCCTCCCCACACATGATCCTTACGAACCTCCTAGGTAGTTTTCAGGTCAACTTTAGGAATCAGATCTCAGACTGGTTGTCATGGAAAAATCTTTCACAGCTAAGCTGTATGGCACCAATAATTAAAATCATGTATTTTAGTTCATAATGAGCTAAAATCATCAAATGTAGTGCCTAGTTAGTTAGAAAAATATCTCTAGCTTTTATTGGTATTGGTTAAAAAAATAAAAAATTAAAATTAAGATTTAGTGAGCCTCGCTATTCTTTAGTAAACTTTAGTACTTTTCTTTAGTTAGTAACTTTTTAGGCCCTACATGATTTAGAATTTAGGCCTAGATCTAGTTACCTCTTTGTATCGTGTACACCCCTGACATTGTGATCCTGCTAAAGTCATGGAACTTTGACGTCCATTCTGTTGGGATGATGATCTAGTGCCAACAGACGAAGGTGCACTTCGTTGTTCCAGCGTAGTTCCTGCATTTCGACTCGCCGGTAAAATTCCACCAAGAAAAGTATTAAAATCAGAATCAAATGTCAAGCTGGAAAACTCATTATCATCAAATCCATCCATCTCTAGCTTCCATGACGCAATCCAAATTCTTATAGCGTAAATCTCAGTGTATGTAAAGCGACAGTAATCAATAACAATCCATCGCTTTTTCCATTACCCTTCTGTATCTATCATTTCGTATACACAACGTGAAAGGAAGTGACGTATGTTTTGAGGTTATAATAAAAATCAAGATTAACGAGGGAACTAACTACATTCAAAGTTATTAGTAATATTAGGCCCCTAACTGAAATATAAAAGTCTAGATCTAGATCCTAGATCTAAATCTAAAAATGCATACGTATTAATGAGAAATATTTAATTTAAAAACCAAATCAAATAAACGGTGGTGAAAAATTCTTTATACAACGCATTCGGTTTTATTTTACGTCTACTGAGCATTTTTTTTATTACTAGCATTTTTATTACCTCGGCGACCGCAAAGGTGTAATTTGCGTAGCTTATCGCTCTCGGGAGCCACCGATTCCACTACAGCAGGGTCGTCGGCTAATGCCCCTGGTTCGGTTTAATCAACGAATGTCGTGTGCCACCTAGTCCCTGCTCTTCAAAACGAACGTAGGCGCCATAATGCTCATCATGGGAGCTCGAAGCGCCGAATTACAACCTGCCAGGGCGCCGGAGGACGCGCCTGGTTTGATTTAGTGAACGATCAGGCTATTATAGCCCATTTTATCCTTAGTGAATCGCACTCTTTAAAACGAATGTAGGCGCCGTAGAGCTTACGAGTGAGCTCTGAGATAATGGATGTGGAAGGGGGTGGGTGCTCTATGATAACGTACACGTATTTTGCATTTTTAAGTTTTCTTTTTAAAACGATCTATCTAGTAATTTTAGTAGTTTCTAATATAGCCCCAGATTTGTGCTAAATAGTGATAAACGATGTTTTAACATTTTCGCAAAATCCCAATTCGAACGTTCAATAAGTAGGCTATTTTTAAAATAGGAGTTGCAGTGTCAAAAAAAAAAAAAAAAAAAAGATAAATTTAAATTTGGTTGGTGGTGGTATATAAATTACGCCTCACTCATAGGGTAGGGATTCATACTTTTCTGACAATGGGGGTTCAATAGTGTGAGGTCGCACTTTTGCATTTTAAAAATAATTAATTTTTGAAAGTTGACTTATTTTTAAGTTATTTCCTATTTTAGGGACTTTAAAATAAATAGGGGAGGGGAGGTAATTTTTTTTTTTTGTGTAAAGCGTGAATTTTGTTTTATTTGGAAGACCCAATAGAACTACTCGTATTATTTTTAAAAGACTCTTAATAGTTGTATTTGCAATCACATTCAATTTAGGCACTGATCATCTCATAATCTCATAATCTTTGAACCAATGTGAAGTCGCTTTAATAAGGGGTAACCCGAAGAGCAACAGATAAAAGTAAGCATCAGGGCTACATAAGCAAATTATTAAGACAAGTCTTGAAAATATATTGGTCAGACAACGTTTAATTTCTATGGCAAAACCTCAGAAAGACTGGTAGTAAGACAACTTACATGGGATTTCAAATCGTCGTCTTTTGAAAGGAGAAGAGAAATCAGATTGGGGTGACTGGAGGTAAAAAGAAAATCTAGTTTGAAGAGTCGCATATATTATATTGTGATCCTTAATGAGCCGAAAAATTACAATAAAGGGATACATTCAATTCATTTTGCCACAAAATTCAAAGGAGTTCGGATACTGCTCTAAAGTCTAATTTAACACGAGCCTTTTGTCGTCTACGGGTTTTCACGCACCCACCACTAATACGCACTGCTCTGATAAAAATCATATCGACAAAGGCTGTTTATTTATTTTTATTTTTTTATTTCATTTTTTTTTAAATGAAATTCGGTATGAGCGAGTGGCTTTTGTGGCAAATGGTAGCCTATGTCATGTTATACTTTGAAAATGCTTCAGGTCATGGCGCCTCATCACATTATAATAGTATGCAGTCATGTGTTCAATAAGCTTGCATTACTCGAGCCAATGTCCACGCAAATCATAAGAAACACATTTATTATGTCTGGTTTTCAACGGTTCTCAAATCTCTGACTGGTCGTCCAAATTACCAAAAAATTACAAAGTTGCAACATGGTGTTCCAACTTTGCCGTGGCTTGGCAGCGTGTGTAACCTGACGACCCTCAGAGTTTTATTAGCGGGAGCAGTGTTTCTTTCGGGCCTCTCTTCGGGGGGGGGGGTAGTTAAAGCAGCAGAAATGGAAACAACTTCGGTGTCCAATACACGGGAAAATATGATAATGATGAATTTCATTAAAAATTGTATAGGCCCTATCTATCTGTAGGCCTAATGAAGACCCGTGGCAAATCACAAGACAACAGCCAATTCATAGGACATAAAAGTCCGAAAATGGGTGTGGATTAACATACCCCGAGAGGGGAAAAGGATAACATCGCGTGACAAGCTTAAAACTGGAATCCCTAGGGGAAAAGGAAAATATAGGCCAGCCAAGGAAAACCTGAAGGAGGACGATGGAAGGAGAGGCAAGGGTGCAAATAGAGATGCCCGAAACCAAGTCAGGTGGAGAGGTGTGGCTACAGCCAGAGCCGGCGTTAGGGGTACGCGGGGCCTATGGCCAACCATCCGCGCGGGGCCTTATATTTTTTTCATTGGTGTATAATTAAAACATGTACAGTGAGGCGTTTTTTTCTTCTTCTCAAAGCGAATTAATATTTATAACGATATATATGGTATTTTTAAGCTGTTTATCAATGTCGTATTAACATTAAGACACTGATTAACAAATAATTTGTTTACTTAAAAGTGCTTTTATAATTTTGAGACACGCATTAAAGAGACGATGAACGTCAGCTTCAAACCTGATTTTTTTACATTAATGTTTATTTATGAAAATCTTACCAGTACGTTCACAAACGAAGATCAACTTTTCTTGCCTTTCGTGAGGAAAATTACATGATTATATCATCATAGTCCAAACTGGAGGCTATGTCTGTTTCTATTGACAGAATCGACAGGCCGCAGAGCCTGTCTTGGGACATCGTTGATCTCAAATAGTTCTTGATCAACTTCAGTTTGGAGAAACTTCTTTCGGCGCTTGCCACTGTGACTCGAACTGTTTGAAAGATTCTGTAGGCGATCGCCGTATTGGGAAAGGAATCCCGAATGCTCCAAATGTACTGAAGGCTCTGTTTGGCTGACTTAATACCTTCGGGCACTTTGAAGCAACGTTAAATCGGTCCACAGTGGCAGGTGATAGTATCGATATTTTCTCAATTTATCGAGGGTTAACAGTGGCATTCAAAGTGTGTGGATGCCGGGGAAAATAGCAAAACATTGATAGATTTCGGAATAAGCTCGAATCGTGAAAAAAACTGTTTACAGCTATAGATATCCAAATGAAATGACTCTCAAATGTAATCACGGACGCTCAGTAAGGTGGAACACTGGGGGGGGGGGGGGGGGGGGTGACAGTTGGTGGGGTGAGGTGAAGCCCGTGAAGGATAACTGTACATTTAAATCTATGGGACGCCAAACCCTAAAAAAAATCAGTTCGGGTACTACGTTACTGGATCTCTGACCGCAGCCATTCAAGAGAAGGTGCGTGTGTATAGAGCGTCCACGTATTACATTACAGGTTAAGACCGCGTTCTAACAAGAGAAGGTCCGTGTCTATAATTAGAAAGTGAACCATGTTATTTATGAGTTTCGCGATGGCATGCTCGGACTGCCGGTAATTTAGACGTTTTAGAAATCAGGAGAACTTTACTATAAAACAGTCTCGGCCCGATGTATCAAACAGTATAGACTTTATAATTTGTTTAGTGTGCCCACACTATTTTAAAACAAGAATCACTATGGCCTTAACTATTATACTGAATATCCCTACACAGAGGCGTAGCGAGGGGGGTGCGGATCGCACCGGGTGACACCATTAAGGGGGGTGACACCAAGGCAAAAAATAGCAAAATATATAGAGAAAAACTTGAGGGGGTGCACATCGAAAGTTTGAGGTGGGGGGTGCAAATCGAAAGTTTGAGGGGGGAGGGGTGCAAATTGAAAATTTGAAAGTTTTTTCCCGGGAAGGGTCGCTACGCCTCTGGGGGAGGGGGGTGTCACCATTAAGTGCCGCACCGGGTGACACCCGACCTCGCTACGCCACTGTCCCTACAATTAATTAAAATAAACATGTGCTTAATCACTTTACGAATACCGTTAAAGTTTACCAAAATGAAAATGGACATAATTACTGTATAAATGCCCTTCAAAAATATAAAAATAAATACAAGTATAATGTATTTAAAGATGACCTGACAATATATAAAATAAATATGAACATAATTACTGTATGGATGCCTATCAAGCGTATCGTGGTGAATATGCATAATTATAAAAAAGATGCTCATACAGTGTATAAATTATGATTTTAGGGATAAATACTCTGGAATTCCGGGGCATGTCCCCATCCGCTCACCCCCCCCCCCTCCTCCTCTGCAAGACATCATCAGGTCACTGACTGTTTACTACAGGCACCCCCGCCTGCTCACTAAAAAACGTCTTCAACGGTCCGCAAACAATAGGGTATCTTTTTACATTTTTTCCCGATTTTACCTCCCATGTCAGGTCGGGGGCTAATTCGCGACCGCCATCTCCAGTCACCTCAGGAGAATAGCAAGTCGACCGTGTCAGCGATGTGTGACACTAATGTCTTTCTTTAGAATAACGGTCTGTCCCAGCCCATGTAAAGGAAAACTCACTAACATCAGCCTTGGCCTCAGTTTTAACATCCAACAATTTCGGCCATTTAGTTGGGTTTTTTTTTTAAATTTAATTCAGCAAAGGTTATTTAAGTTTACAAACTAATTCAGGCAACAATGGCCTTGCTGAAGCGCGGGGCCCCTTCAAGCGCGGGGCCTGGGGCGGCCGCCCCGTTTGCCACCCCCTAACGCCGGCTCTGGCTACAGCCCATGGGTCACACAGGAGAGGTGTGGCTACAGCCCATGGGTCACACAGGAGAGGTGTGGCTACAGCCCATGGGTCACACAGGAGAGGTGTGACTACAGCCCATGGGTCACACAGGAGAGGTGTGGCTACAGCCCATGGGTCACACAGGAGAGGTGTGGCTACAGCCCATGGGTCACACAGGAGAGGTGTGGCTACAGCCCATGGGTCACACAGGAGAGGTGTGGCTACAGCCCATGGGTCACACAGGAGAGGTGTGACTACAGCCCATGGGTCACACAGGAGAGGTGTGGCTACAGCCCATGGGTCACACAGGAGAGGTGTGGCTACAGCCCATGGGTCACACAGGAGAGGTGTGGCTACAGCCCATGGGTCACACAGGAGAGGTGTGACTACAGCCCATGGGTCACACAGGAGAGGTGTGGCTACAGCCCATGGGTCACACAGGAGAGGTGTGGCTACAGCCCATGGGTCACACAGGAGAGGTGTGGCTACAGCCCATGGGTCACACAGGAGAGGTGTGGCTACAGCCCATGGGTCACACAGGAGAGGTGTGACTACAGCCCATGGGTCACACAGGAGAGGTGTGGCTACAGCCCATGGGTCACACAGGAGAGGTGTGGCTACAGCCCATGGGTCACACAGGAGAGGTGTGACTACAGCCCATGGGTCACACAGGAGAGGTGTGGCTACAGCCCATGGGTCACACAGGAGAGGTGTGGCTACAGCCCATGGGTCACACAGGAGAGGTGTGGCTACAGCCCATGGGTCACACAGGAGAGGTGTGGCTACAGCCCATGGGTCACACAGGAGAGGTGTGGCTACAGCCCATGGGTCACAAAGGAGAGGTGTGACTACAGCCCATGGGTCACACAGGAGAGGTGTGGCTACAGCCCATGGGTCACACAGGAGAGGTGTGGCTACAGCCCATGGGTCACAAAGGAATAAGTCAGGTAAGTCAAGCTATATAGGCCTAGGGGTCATCCATAACTGACGTCACGCTTTTTTGGACGATTTTTTACCTCCCCTCCGTCACACATCGTCACAAAAAGTCAGACCACCCCTGAAATGACGTCACACCTCAGCCTACAACCCCCCCCCCCCCCCCTCAAAATGCTATTGAATTTTTCTTAAACCATCGATATTTTTTCCAAAATCTTGTCTGAACTCTCTCAACATAGAGTATTTTAATCAATTCCTATTATAATGTATTAAATCAGTTTTCTGAATCGCGCTAAAATTTGTTTTCTAACAACATTGCTTTTTTATAATACAAAAGTGTGACGTCCCACCATCTGAACCCCCCCCCCTCCTCCCTCATCACACTCCGTCACAAAATTACGGACCCCCCCCCCCTCCCCTTACGAGTGTGACGTCATTTATGGAGACCCTCCCCCTACCATAATTTCGCTTGAGTAGGTAAAGCTTGCCCTACTATTGGAATCTATGGATCATTTAAAAATGAATCACACTCTCTAGATGGGAGGGAGGGGGCGAGCTAAGAAAGAGTGACATCATAGTTTGGGACTTGGTAAGGTAATTTTTTTAAAAAATTTAGTTATAACTTTTTCCATTTAAAAAAATATATTTTTCTTTTTGTAAAAAAAAAAAAAACATTGAAAATATATACAAGACCAATGCAACAAGCCTATATTGTTAGAACCCCTGAACTATGACTGTATATTGGATAAATTAAAGATGTGCTTTATTCAAATCGCACGCCTATATTAAACAACCGAAAACATCGACACTTGGATGTTAGAAATTGTTAAGGGGACATAATCGGTGAGTGTGCACAATAGAAAGAACGCTTATATAAAAATCACACTGATTTATTGTGCTTTATTAAAAAATATGTATCTTTTATGACAGATAATTACAAATAGGCCATAGTCAATTCTTTTAACCTAACTTTTTAAAAAGGTATAGGCTCGTCTTTTCGGGTATAAAATTAGTATGTGTTTTTTTTAAATTATTGCCCTTTAAACAGCAGGCTCGTATTTAAGAAGACTGCAATGAATCTCAAAGTGCACCAGTTGTTGCTCTCTGTGGTTTTTGTGTTGGCCGTGCGTTTTGCCACATCTTACGAGATTCCAGATATTATACCCAAGTCTGGCGTCTATGATGAGGATTGGATTAAAAACATGTTGTATCAGCTAGAGCAGTCGAAGGTATGTTTTCGTTTTTTTTTTTTTTGATAAAGTAAATAACATTTTTTTTTGTTTTTGTTTTTTTGTAAAAGAATATTTATTGTGTAGGATTTCAAAAGAACATTAGTGTCTTTTTATTAGTTGTTCTGTATTCTAGGAAGGTCTGTTTGGCGGAGGGGCTAAAACTAGTTCTATCTATACTGAACAAAATCTTTCCCCCCTCCCCCACACCTGACAATACTTGACAACTGTGTTATATCGCTAGGGCACCATTGATTTTTTTAAAGACATTTTTATTCCCTTTACAAATGTGGATCGCATCAATATGTAGTCTAAGCTCTTCAATCAGTCTATACCGTCGCTCCCCCCCCCCCTCTTCCCAATTATACAATGTACCTATCTTCTTCTTCTACTTCGTTCTTAATTTTTAGTGTTGGAAGGGATCGAGCCTTATTTGCCAGAGGGTTTGAACTCGAGACTTTTTTCGAATTTATCAACCATGAGCTTTTGCCGACTCGACCACGCCTCCGTCACAATTAAGGATACGTGTCAACTGGTTATGCGCCATTGAGGCCATTGACGCTGATTTCAGCCTGCTTTTCTTATGTACCTATCAATATATGAAAAGCTAGTTTGTCGAAAACGGTTCAATTGAGTGCCCATCATTATTTAAAACATTATTTGAGTAGTTTGAGACGGATTAATGTGCTATAGTTTAATAGAAAAATGTAAGAGCCCAGACCCACACAAAAAAATACGTCCCGTTGTGCTATGACAGAGGCGTAGCAATATATATATATATATATATATATATATATATATATATATATATATATATATATATATATATACTTTGTTTCTGGGAGGGGGGTGACACCACGAAGTGCCGAACCGGGTGCAGAGGCGTAGCGACCCTTCCGGCGACAAACTTTTCGATTTGCACACCCCCCCCCCTCAAGATTTCGATTTGCCCCCCCCCCCCCTCAACCTTTCAATTTATTTTTCAAACCCATTTTGGCGCCCCCCTAAGGTCGGCGCCCGGGGACATATGTCCCCCCCCCCCGCCCCTCCCCCCCCCCCCCCTCGCTACGCTACTGACCGGGTGACACCCGACCTAGCGACGCCACTAAGCAGAGATTACATCATTGACGCATGTTTGTCTTCTAAACGTAGTGGTCTATATACTACTTGTTAAATTGGGTGAACTCGCACACAAATCTGCATGCCAGAACATTATAGCTTGTGCAATGTTAAAAATCAAAATCCATGTCAACACAACAATTTTTTTTCCTACCCACAGAAAACTAAACATTTACAAAAGGCAACGAGAAAAGTCTCTAACGGAATTCAGCTAGAAAACTGCGGGGGTGCGATGGCCCCCATCGTCGTGGACGAGCTGACTGTGAGCCCGTACCCGATCCCGTACAAGGGCGAGGTCACGGTGACCGTTAAGGCGACCTTGAAGCAGGATCTCACTAACAACATTCGGGTAATTCAATGCTGCTTTTAGAATACATTCACTGCTTTGAGAAGTATTATTTTTTATATAGAGGCCTACATGCGTAGTGGAAATTAATTGACAGCGCTTATACATTACCATCTGTTAGAATGGAGCAGGTTTATTTTAATCGAAACGGCCATCCTGTCAATTAGCGTATTTTTAAGTAAATAAATGTTATATACCTATTATATTTACATAACGCCACTTTTGATGGATACCTAACTCACGTTAGGGAGAGTAAAGGCGGCTGGCCATAGTGCTGACCACACCATCTCTTCAAATGCCGAGGTCACAGAAACAAGTGAACTCTACTTCACTTGCCCCATAGACCGTCAGGTTTGAAAGGGAAACTTTTACTTCTTAAAGTAACTATGCATACGCATGCTGCTTGTCTTTTCAACATTTGAAAAGCATCTGATTATGTCATTTATCGTAGGCCCTTGCATAATTGTACAAAAATAGAATAATTTCCATAATTGGGGGGGGGGGGGTAATAAGAACTGAAATACAAGTCCCGTAGAAACTCACTGAGCTGATAATGCCCCTTACATACCACCGAGATGCCCATGCGTTTATTAAAACTTAAACATATTTTCGCTGTATTTAAATAAATTGAACACTGAATAAATATTTCCCTTATACAGATTGAGATGGTGACCGAAAAACGTCAATTCGGCACGTGGATGAAAATCGATTGCAAGGGTTACCTGGGCTCATGCACCTTTGACGACGTGTGCCCGATGTTGAGCAAGTTGGCCACCTGCCCAGCCGAGCTGCAGGACCAGGCTGGGTGCAAATGTCCGTTTGCAAAGGTAATAAGGGGTCATCCATAAATGACGTCACACTCGTAAGGGGGAGGGGTTCGTAATTTTGTGACGATGTGTGATGAGGGGGGGGGGGGGGGTTCAGATGTTGCGACGTCACATTTTTGCATTATAGAAAAGCAATGTAAGAAAACGAATTTTAGACGTTATTTCGCGTTTTAGATAACTGTTTTAATAAATTGTAATATTTTAGACAAGATTTTGGAAAAATATCGATGGTTAAAAAAAAATTCAACTGCAATTTTGAGGGGGGGTTGTAGGTTGAGGTGTGACGTCATTTATGGGGGGGGGGTCTGGCTTTTTGTGACGACGTGTGACGGAGGGGAGGGGGGGGGGGGGGTAAAAATCGTCAAAAAAAGCGTGACGTCATTTATGGATGACCCATAAGACGTGTTCAGGTAGGACTACTTCCGCGTTATCCCGTGGCAAAATCAGGCGTAGGAGAAAAAGGTCGACATCCATTCGACCGACATATATAAAAAGCCGACATAAAAAGACCGATTGGCCATTAGTTGGCAAAATTAGTCAAAGTAACAGTGTGTCGTGCATAACTGATGAACGGGTAGGGGGGGGGGGGGGGCTGAAGCTTTGTGACGTCTGCTGGTGTGTATGTATGTATGTGTGTGTGTGGGGGGGGGGGTTAAAAATTGTTAAATCATTCAATGACCCTGTTGCATTTCAATATTGATTTACATCGAATGGTCAAAAGCAACCTTTTTTAGTTAAAGTTATTAAATTTATTAAAAAAATAATCAGAGCTTCTGAATGATTCTTTTTTTTTTTTTAAATAAGGGAGTATATGAAGTCAACCGCAGCAAAGTGAAGATGAACCTGCAGCGCTACGCCATCGGGAATTACCGCAGTACAGTGAGGATCATCGAGAACGGCAACCAGCTGGCCTGCTTCAAGGTGCTTTTTTGTGTGGGCTCATCCTAGGGTCAGCACTTAGACTTAGAGTCTAGATGAGATTTCTGTCCAGGAGGCCTGCTTCAAGGTGCTTTTTTGTGTGGGCTCATCCTAGGGTCAGCACTCAAAGAGTCTAGATGAGATCTCTGTCTTTGATTAAAATCTGGTTACATATTTTCTAAAACGTTTGCGTTTTAAAAATCGTTTTATAATGCCCGTTTATATGTATACTCAGGAGATAGTATTAAGACAATTAAATATTGGGTTTAAGTTTGGTTTAACAAACCTCTTAAGTATAAGGTAAAGGAATCACAAATGTAAGAAAACTAAACATTGACCTTTGGACATAAGATTTTCATTAGCATTAACAGAAGCAAAGCTGCATACTATTGAAAGTTTTATTTGTAATTTGTTTTTAAAAAAATCTCTAGTAATTCTTCTATAAGTTGTATACTAGATCTTTGCTTTGGAGACTGAAAATGAAATAGTTTGATGATGGCCTTACACAAAAACGTTTATGGCAGATTCTTACTAATTACGCTACATTTCAATATTGGTATTCAGCGTGGTGTAGTGAGCCCCTAGTGATAGTGTGGCAGTGTCAGGACATGTTTGCCCCCTAACAGTTTGACCAACAAGACTTTAAAGATCACATGGTCAGTATGTCAGAGATTTGTGTGACCACAACATTAGGATGGCCATAGAGGTTCAGACGTTTTCACATTCCTTAATGGTCAGCAGGTCATAGGTTTGTGTGGCCACAACATTAGGATGGTCATAGAGGTTCAGACGTTTTCACATTCCTTAATGGTCAGAGGTTGGAGTGGCCACAGCATTAGGATGGCCATAGAGGTTTGTGTGGCCACAGCATTAGGATGGCCATAGAGGTTTGTGTGGCCACAGCATTAGGATGGCCATAGAGGTTCAGACGTTTTCACATTCCTTAATGGTCAGAGGTTGGAGTGGCCACAGCATTAGGATGGCCATAGAGGTTTGTGTGGCCACAACATTAGGATGACCATAGAGGTTCAGACGTTTTCACATTTTCTAATGGTCAGAGGTTTGTGTGGCCACAGCATTAGGATGGCCATAGAGGTTTGTGTGACCTCAGCATTAGGATGGCCATAGAGGATTAGACGTTTTCACATTCCCTAATGGTCAGTAGGTCATAGGTTTGTGTGGCCACAGCATTAGGATGGCCATAGAGGTTCAGACGTTTTCACATTCCCTAATGGTCAGCAGATCATAGGTTTGTGTGACCACAACATTAGGATGGCCATAGAGGTTCAGACGTTTTCACATTCCCTAATGGTCAGCAGGTCATAGGTTTGTGTGGCCACAGCATTAGGATGGCCATAGAGGTTCAGACGTTTTCACATTCCTTAATGGTCAGAGGTTTGTGTGGCCACAGCATTAGGATGGCCATAGAGGTTCAGACGTTTTCACATTCCCTAATGGTCAGCAGATCATAGGTTTGTGTGACCACAACATTAGGATGGCCATAGAGGTTCAGACGTTTTCACATTCCTTAATGGTCAGAGGTTTGTGTGGCCACAGCATTAGGATGGCCATAGAGGTTCAGACGTTTTCACATTCCTTAATGGTCAGAGGTTTGTGTGGCCACAGCATTAGGATGGCCATAGAGGTTCAGACGTTTTCACATTCCCTAATGGTCAGCAGATCATAGGTTTGTGTGACCACAACATTAGGATGGCCATAGAGGTTCAGACGTTTTCACATTCCCTAATGGTCAGCAGGTCATAGGTTTGTGTGGCCACAGCATTAGGATGGCCATAGAGGTTCAGACGTTTTCACATTCCCTAAATCTCACACAGCAATCAATGTGTAGGTAACATCACACTACAGTATTTACAGGCTCAAGTCCATTGGACGTCACTCGGCTCTGATTGATTAGTAATTGAAATCAATTGGGGAAAGACTTAAGTATAAAAACCTCAACATCCCATTAGATGCAGTTTTAAAAGATCATATAAGACTGGTGTATGACTATGAATGACAATTACAGCTGAAAGGGTGTATATATTTTAAGTAAGTAAACGTTGAGTTCCCTATTGGACTTTGTGACCTAAAGAGCAAGTGACCTCAGCATATGAAGGGAGAGTGTGTCAGCACGATGCCAAGCCGCCTTTACTTTCCTTAACATAGTCAGGTAGCATCAGAATAGGGTGGAATCAGGGATGTACTACAACTCCAGCCAGGCACCCCAATTCAAAACTATCAGGTTAGCAGGCAAATGCTTTACCATTCAACATGCGATCGAAATGTCAACGTAATGTTAGTGAAGTATATACATTAAATACAGACAAAATTTAACTGTTTTTTAAAGTGAAGTAAAGGAATGACATAAAATATGACAAATGCATACTAAGCTAACAAAACAACAATAACAAAAAATAAACACTACTAATAAAGTTGCATGATCAATCATTTATTAAATGATTATTTTTACACAAAAAAAAGACAAGTTTCAAAAAGTATAAGCAAACAATGAAAACAGGCTTTCTTCATTCACCACCACCTACACTTTTAAGGTCAAAATTGTTTTTTTTTGTTCTCTTAGTTTTATAACATTAATGAACTCACTGCACTATAAAGTTGGAAATTACAGAAATAACTTCATTCTGTTTCTTAAACTACTATGGATAAAGATATAATTAGTAATGCAGTGGAGCTTACTAAAGAAAAAAACAACTTTTCAGCTTTATTATCTTAATCCACCTAAAGATCAGTTTGATCATCCATAGTTTTATGTTAATTTAAACAATACCAGTTCTAATATATCAGCTAAAAAACTTCACTCTCACATTATACAAAAACCTAAAATATACATTGCATAAATTATGCACATCAGTTTTGCTAAGTCTTATCTAAAAAAATCTATTCATCTAATCATCTATACTTATTCTAATCATCTGCTTTAAAATGGGACACAGAAGTAAGTTTAGTATGTGGAGCTGCTAGTCCCAAAAGCACAAGTTAAGTGTGCATTACCAGCAATCTAATAGGGGTTTACAGTTTATGGAATGTGAAGTCATAATGACATTCAATGGGGCAAAGGATGGGAATTGGATGAAAATTTTCAAACTTTATTAGAAATACATCTTAGTTTGTGGAAACTGAAATGGAATCAACAAGATATTATACTTTATTAAAAACATTTTTGACTTAATAAACTGTTTGCATAACCTGAAAAGGAAACCGATTTAAAATGTTTCACATTAAGAGATAAAATCTATAACCAATGTGAGCTTAAGTTAAGTTACTGCTATTAATACATGTTGCATGTAACTTACAAAGGGTTGAAGTTTTTAACTGTGCAAACATTAGCATAAAATTGTGCAACATTAAAATGTATATACTTTTAAAATAACTGGATGGACAAGCGAAAAAAAAAGAGAAAAAAATTATTTTTCACCTACATTTATCAAAAACGAATTTTTACTTTCTGATGCTCCACACCAATGTATGTTATCTGTTTTATGAAAAAATCAAGTTTTCTTGTACACACTACAATCTGATTAATCAAATTTTAATTATGGCTCATACTTATATAACCCAAAAATACAATGTAAATTAAACAAGCCCTAACCTAAATCCTGTGAAAAAAACATTTCAACCAAGGCACAAATTTGATGCCTTTCTCTATTGTTTAAAAAAAAACCCTCCTTAACTGACACCCTCAATGATGAACTCTACAGAAGCAATTCACCTTTTATAACTTTTTAGACATTTGATGACTAAAATATGTGTACACAATTCAAAGCTCAGTGCTTTATTAGGTGCCTATTAGGTTAATCTACTGCAATTAAAACAAGATTTACATGAATGATAGTAACTAATTAGCTTAGTTGAGCATCTAATCTTAAACTAGCCCACTCTACTTGGAATGCCTTACTACAAGCAGATCTAGCTAGCTCAAATACACAAGTCATCTTTAGTTTAACCAGGGTAAGTACTTTCCAAAAAAAAAAATGCTGTTAGGATCACAATAAATTAGACAAGCAATAAATAATAATGTGTTTTATCTATCACATTACACAGCAACACACTTGCAAAAAGCTGAAATTGGTCTGTGTTACGAACATTCAAATCACCATCACAACAGTGACATACGATACCATAAGCCCTGGATCAAATTCCAAATTTCGTTCAGATTATAATCAGTCACAAATTACAATCAGAATTAAGTAATACAATCAAATGTTGCATAAACCTTTACGTTTAGGAAGTCAGATTAGATTAAAATATATACATTTAAAATAGATTTAAATAAATCAATAATAACAATTCAGAACAATATTTTCTCTGTTGACCTTAAAAACCCAAAGGTCTCCAATAAGTTTCCTGGCTTTTGTATCTGAGTCTACCCAATTTGTAAATGTACCCAGCAGCATAAGTTGTAGTTTGTAGAAGCTGACTGCTCCTGAAAATGATGCTGATCACCACAGCTATCACACAAACTCAAATGCATCTTCCCATTTGGTCTGAAAGAGTTTACTAACAACACAAAGTTAAATCAGGTATACATGGCTAGTACTATGGGAGAGTGGATGCTCTATATGGGGGAGACTTGGTTATGTACCAGTACCAGTTATGTTCCCTTCTACAGTTAGAGTATTGTTATACATTTATTTATATAGTTAATTAGTTTTAAAACCCTACATTTCTGGAAAAATATTTGTAGACTTGGAAAAGAGAAAAATATGGAAATAACTGTTCATAGGAGTGAATGGAAAGTGGTTTAAAACAATCACAAAAACAATGAATACAATAAATAAAAAAAAAATTTATTTAAAAAAATAATGTCATGAAAATGTTTTCTTATATAAATTAGGAGTGGTAGTATGGCTTACTCAGTAAGGCTTACTGAGATATCACAAGAAAAATGTAACTTGATAAATAAGTGCAAACAACTAGGTAATTGTACTTAAAAATAAAAAATGCATGCACTTTTTATGCATGAATTGTGTTATCTACACTGAAAAGCTAAAAGCCTGCAACCTTGTGTCTACATAATATAAAGTGCACAATTCATTTTTAATTTTCAGATAATTGACAAAAAAAAGAGGGTTTCAGGTGGCTGAAGATAATGATACAAAGATACGAGTTTTAATTTGTTTTATTACAAATTAAAACAACAGGTGCAAGTTATAATGTGTGATCTAATCATTGTTAGAACATTGTTATAAGTCTTAAATTAGCTATGTGCAAGTTAAATGTTACTGTTGAAATCTTGTTTTACCTTAGAGAAGAAAACATTTTAAAATATTGCACTACTAAATAGTGTTGGAAGATCTTGTACAGTGGGCTGTAGTAATATAGCCTGATTTCTGGCTTATTGGAAAGTTGAGTCTGCTGTAAAAGCCCCTGCAAGCCTGTTGTCCCCATCTACAAGATAACAGTACATTCTCTGAGGCAGGACTTTAGAGTAGGGGGCAGGCCTAGGGACCATAGCTCTTAGAATATACTCTCTCAGGGCTGCAGAGGGAAAGTCAGAGCATGAAGCGGACGAGCGCACCTCTGAGGCTGTGGTTAGGTGGCCTCTGTGGTTGCTTGATTTATCCAGGTTCAAGGCTTCGTCGTTGTCCTCGTCATCCAAAATCATATTATTAGCTCTCTGAGCTGCAATAAACATTTTATGTATGATGGCTCCAGCTGGACCACAAGCTCCCCCTGTGACAGCAACTTCTGACTGTGTTAACAAAGCGGTGACGAACCTTTCAATTTCTTCCTCCTTACCCTCCTGTTCCGGACATGACAGGTGATCACTTGTAAACTTTGATCGCAGGGATGTGGTACGAGCAGATACAATCTCTGCAAGTTCAATTAACCGAAGGATCTCTGAATATTTTTTCTTATCAAGAGAAAAATTTCTGGTCACTTTGGCGGCCTTTGATATGATTGGATCAATAATAGATTTAACGTTGGGGACACTAGTCTGGATAGACTCTTCAACCAGTTTTACAATGGCAGCATGCACAACACACGGCATTAAATGGAGAACTACTTCGGCAGGTTTCATAGAAGCCAAGTAATGAAGCACTTTTTCAGCTTCTTTAGTGTCATCAAACAATCGCTTCTGGCGCCGAGCTGGAACTGGCTTAGCGCTCTGCCATGCCTCAACCCACATATTACCAGGGATCTGCATTCGTTGGCTCAGGTGTCCTCGTTTTGGAACCAGGGGTTTGTTTATTTCTCCTTCACTAGTTTCTTCTTCTTGCTCTCCCCCATTTTCAGTTTCTTCCCCCTCAACCACATAATCCCTAGGAGAGTACCACCTGACAAAATCTTCCAGGATACAGCCAGGGTTTGCAGCTTTGAAAGATTCCATATCAGAAACAAGACAGGCACTCTGCATGCGAGCTCGGATCTGTGAACCCTCTGCGGACGTCCCTAATTTGGCTAAAACCTCTGCATGTTCTTCCAACATGTCCTCAGTCATTGGTGAGGGCTCTTGTGTTATAGGGATATACAGCTGCTCTCCATTTGTTAGTAAAAATACATTTTTCATAGGCACCAACCTGCCTTCTGGGCGATGGGTTAGTGAGTCTTTGAATAAGCTTGAGTCTTCACTAGTTTTCATGCGCCCGCTTGCTAATTTATCCCCAGTGTCTTGGCTCTCAGACCCAGCCACATCCGCAGAGTTGGAATGTTTTTCTTCCCCATTGTTTGTTTCATCTGCTTCACTTCTGGCTGACAATCCTCCCCCCTCTTTGCCATCATCGCCTTCTTCGTGGCATTCAAAAAACTCTTCATCGTCATCACTTGAGTTTAGGAGGCTGGCTGTCTTGCTCAATCGCTTCATTGCAGCAGCACTTAAGCCATCAGTAGATATGTTTTTAATGTCTGTGTAAGAGTCAAAACCTGCATCATGGATGTTTAGAGAATCTGCACCATAGCCGTAACCAGCAGACTCTCTCTTAATCTTACACTCTATGCAGCAGTTTAACATTTGAAGTTTTTGGTGTAAAATACAAGAGCCCATATTTGGTGTTCCTTTGTCAACATTGCATAATAGATGCTTGTTTTCCCAACGAAATCGCATTTCCAGAATGAATTCCTGCCACAAATGTGCCACACCAAGCAAGCCACCAAAGTTATGATTAACGTTACATAGAGCCAAACTTAGCTTATGGGTCAAGCTGTCTATTGGTGCAGCTTTCAGTTGTTTATTAACTTCTGCCAAAATTTCAGCTACTCTTTCAGTTTCTGATTTTCTGTCTCTCTCTTCATCTCCAACCTGCTCAGACATGGATGATGTCAATGATGTTGGTGTGGAAGAAACATTGGATTCTTTGCGTTTGGTTGAAGACAGAGATTTGGTACTACTCTGGCTTCTGGGAATTTTGGCATCAGGGAAGAGGAAGTAAATAATTTTATCTAGAAGGACATCTGGGATAGGGGCCTCGTCTGGTTTAAATTTTATCCTTGAGGTTGCTGTTGACATGACATTGCCCAGTGATGGCAGAGATGAGAGAGCAGGTACAGGCTCTGTAAGTCTTTGCAATGCATGGGTGATGTCTGCCCCATGTTTATCACCATCACTTTCAACAACCACTCTTTTCAGAACATCTTCTGTGCTCTCTATCCTATCGCACAGCTTGATAAAGTCTCTGAGGAACTCGCCCAGCAAACATTGAGGGTCTTCCGTCATCTGGAGCTTCACAGTCCACTGTGGAGCTTGCAAAGGGTCCAAATCCGAATAAAGGCTGTTTTCAACTATCATATCCTCAGATAGACATGGCCAGGTACAGGATAACTGGAGCTCATTTATTGGATCAGAGCATGCTCCAAAAGGAAGAAAATCAATATCGCCATACCCAACTTCTCCATCGCATATAGAAGTAAAATCTGGAGGCATCTGTGGCCAGTCAGAATGAAACCAGTCCTTGAGAATATATGTGAACCTGACAGATACAGACACGGGAGGCATGGATATGTATACACAACCTAACTTAGATTTAAACACGTCTAAAAGGCCAGCAAGGTGGCAGTATTGGGGAGGCAATCTTCGTAGGTGAGACATTTCAAATTCAATAGTTGCCCCGCGCACCAGCGATGTGCCTGTAAACAGCTTTCTCCACTTGTGATGAAGCTGTATAAAAAATGGGATGCTACAGTTTGTGTTTCCCAGTGCTATGGAGGCAGAGCTGAGAAGAAGTTTTGCTTTGCCCTCTGTCTCAATCAACTGTTTTTCACTGATTGGCATGAGGGTGAAGAATTCTTGAAGTCCATACCATCTACATAGATAGTGACCATGTGATGGGAAATCATTTTCAAAGTTCATTAGATCCAGAAAAACTGTTGGAGTTTTATGATCCTCATCAACTTCCTCCACATCCTCACGTTTAGCATTTACATTTGTAGTAGTAAACTCTTCATTTGTTTTCAAATAAAAATAACTGCAAGTAAATCTGAAATCTGCAAAAGACACTTCCTCAGATTTTTCTCCCCAAGCCCCAGAATTATACTGATCCTTCATAGCTGGTGGCCTAGGTTCGTGGTTCACAAGTTTCCATTCATGAATAATCTCTTCCAAACGGGCAATAAATCTCTCCCATTCTGAGGCTGTTGTAAAATCTGTAATTTCAAACACGTCTGCCTCATCATCAACAGCTGAAATTTTTTTGGATGACATTTTTCTCCGCTCTCTCTCCTGACCAGAAAGTGCATTCATGCTAGCATGTTAAAACTCAGCAATCTGCAATAGGCATTTAAAAAAAGTACTTTAGACTTTAAGAACAAGCCTACTTTTAAGTACTTTAGTGTTTAGTACTGTGAGTGTTTAGTACTTTACCTAAGTTTAACTAACTTACTAAGTTACTAACTTCCTAAGTAAAATAGACTACTAAACTGAACTGGGCATATCAACCACATCTATCTTATCTAGCCTAGATATAGTAATTTAGTTAGAAGGTTAAGGTAACACTAAGGAAGTGTAGTGTGTAGACTGTACTGTTTGTTGAGTAAGAATTTAAGAAGCAGCCAAAAACCACTTGTCAAGAAAATGAAGAAATAGAGTGTAAAAAGAGGCGCCTAGTTTTAAAACGTAGGTCTATGACCAAATTCTTGATTTATCAAATATTTGATGTAGATTAGAAATGTTAAATAGATCTAGAATATAGCCTAATAATAATATTGCAACAGTAAATTAAAAAACAAAAAAGACTTGTTATTCCACGTTTTGAGTTTTGATAAGTGTAAGCAATTCATTATAGATCTAAATACCGAAACGGTGGGCTAGAATTTAGACGTAAAGCCACTCAAATAACAGGAAACATTTATCAGTTTATTCTGAAGCAGTATTACTAATTATATATTAGTTAGGCCAGCTTTCGTTTCAATGCAGATAATATGTAAGTTTTATTTTATAAAAGATGTGGAACGTTAATCTCCGTTCTTATTTTTAAAAAGACATGACGATCAAAGAAGTTATACTTGAAAGAACAAATTGCCCCTAATGCCATATTATATATTAGCTTTAAAAATGCGTATGCCTAATATTACACTATTATACTATTATACTATACTAATATAATAGTAATAAAATTACAGTAGGCAAAATGCTATCTGCATAAACACTAGGGGGTCATCAACACTTTTTTTGACGATTTTTACCTTCCCCATCCCCTCCGACACACGTGGCACAAAAAGCCAGCCCCCCCCCCGCTAAAATGACGTCACACCTCAGCCTACAACCCCCCTCAAAATTGCAGTTGAATTTTTTTTTACAACATCGATATTTTTCTAAAATCTTGTCTGAACAATTTATTAAAACAGTTTTATAATGCAAATGTGTGACGTCGCACCATCTTAACCCCCCTCCCCCTCATCACACACCTTCACAAAATTACGGACCCCCCTCCCCCTACGAGTGTGACGTCATTTATGGACGACCCCTAGATTAGAGCAATGTATTAAATAACTTATACTCGTCTCTCTTGGACATAGCTGCAGGGGGTGACTGTTTTTCATTAAGATATTTTACTCCACGGGGGAGGGTTGGCAACAATAAGATTGGTTTACGTATCTATATATATAATTCTCTTCTGGGAGCCGTTAGAAAACAAGCTGCAAACGCGCCTTACAATCCCCTCTCTTCCTCTCTGTCCCCACCCCACCCCCACATTGTCTGGTGAGCTGTGGTCAAGTTAATGTTTACAAATCGTAGACGGGTTTAGTGACGGCTATCAGGGGCAGATAATTTAGTTTGAAACGATTTTAAACCTACAGGAGGTTACTAAGAGGAGGCTGCTTTCACGGGGGGGGGGGGGGGGGGGGGGGGGTAGGGGTTGGGGTTGGGGGAAAGGGAGGGGGGGGTAGTGCTTTAAAGCAAATATTTTCAATGGCAGCATTGGTACTGTCGAATTCACAAATTATGAATTACTGAAAAGTAGAAAATATAACAACTAAATAGCGGCGTATGATACGCCGCGGGGCGGCTCGTATATTTTAAAATTAAAATTTAAAATATTTTAAAAATTTCGTTTGGGTGCTAATTACTATTACAGTGGTACCCGAGATACAAATTTTATTGTTAATTGGCTATATCAAATTTTTCGTATCTTTAAGCGATTTTTTTCCGTTTGAAAATAGATTCTATATTAGATGTTTCTTCATCCCTTTGAAAAATTTCAATGATTGTTTCAAATAGAGATCGAATTCCATCATTCAAGTGCAAAAGTAAAGTCGCTATATTTAATATTTAATTACTTTTTTTAGCCGATGGTATTGATAATAACGTGTAGACTGTAGAGTGTACTAGAGTGTAAATCTAGTCTAAATAAAATAAGCGGTAGCAGTTTATTTAATGTGCAAGTCATATTGTAAATATGATATAATAATTAATAGGCCTATACATTTGATATGTTTAACAATAATTAACTAAAATAAATACATTTACAATTTTTAAAACGAGTAGGCCTAGAAATCTAAGCTATATAAAAATCTAGTCTAAATATTCAAGCGCTAATTTGTTTGTAAGATTTAGTAATTTAGGCTAACTGAAAGGTCGATAAATATCGGCACTATGGTTGACAAAAAGTAGAATCTAGATCTAGTTCTTGATTTCTAGATAAATCTATATACTATCTACTAGATCTATCTAGGTACTGAAACCTTGATTAAATTAATAGTTAAACTACTTAGTATAGTTAGTAGATCTAGATCTAGTAGTTAGACTAGTTAGTTAATAGTTTGGTAATCCTTTTTTTGGTAAATTGATATGTTTACAAGTTTTAAGTTAGTTTTAACTTAGTTTTAACTTAAATTTTAAGGCAGGGAGGTAATCTATCGTTGGTAATCTATCGTTTTGGGTACGTAAAATCGCGACTTTTTAATATTAAAAAACTGTATAACAAAATCTGCAATTCAACTAGATCTAGATCTAATCTAGATCCGACATCGACCAATGAATATTGAATAAGCATAACACTGGGTTAGGGAGAAAACAGGTTTTTTGCACCTGACATATAGAATCTAGACTCGAGATCTAATCTAGACTAGATCTAGACCCAATGCATTTAATAAAAATAGTAGGCCTAAATATTAAATAATAGTAATCTATATATACTAATATAGGCCTAACATCTGACCCCAAAACATAAAAAAATGGCTTGGGGATTTTGCAAATCTTGTTAAATCTCATTATAATTTGTTTGCGAGTCTTTAAATAAATGGGTCCATTTTGTGTTATCTTATAATTACTATATTTTGCAATGAAATAGGTTAAATTAGGAAATATGATTTAGTGAAATAGGCTACTATAACTTTATAAGCGACTGTTTTTTAGTTTGTTTTCCTAATTACCAAATTTTAAAATAACTCTATTAAGAGTTAGTTCCTGCTTGACAGGAAATTTTGTAATTAATGTGAAAATGTAATTAAATCACTACAAAATATTTTTTAAAGTAACATATCCTGTTCTGTTTTTTTTTTAGTAAACACTGAAGTAAAAGAAAATCTGTTTTTGCTGAACCAGTAAATATTTCCCACGATGATTGCCTTAGCTGGGCCAGCAGGGTTTTGTAAGTAAATTCTTTAATAATATGATAATCTAGGCCTAATTATCATGTTGTTTTTTTCCAGATATGTCAAAACAATTATATCTTTGTTTCAGATGGAACACCTGTGACCAAGATTCTTTTGTGCCATGGTATAATCAGTTACTTTTTGTTTACCTTCCCACTGCAGCATTTTCATTACTTGTTTCATTACAACCAAGATGTCTTTGCAAAGCAACAGGTATCTATCTAGATATTTATATATATTTAAAACTCAGCTTTGTTTACAAAGTTGTATTCATATATTTGTCTTTGTACGTAATCGAATGGGAAAAAGCACATTAACTTATACCAAACTAACAACAAAGACCAAACTGTGCATCATATATGGAAGAGCTTCGCTTCAAAATAAATGTGTAAAGATAGACCTTTTATTCCAAAGTTTTGATAGTGGTTTACTTTTGTCACTTCAGGATATGTTTGCATTGTGAGTTCAGCTCCATGACCTATCACCTATATTTTCCTCAACTTGAAACTAAAACAAATTCCCATCTGTGTTCAGTGGATTCAGGGTCACCCAAATAGGAGTTCAACAATTATGCTCTACCTCATGAATATGTCATCCTTAAGCTCATTACTATTATATAATTGTTTATTACAGTTGAAGAAAATGTTTATGTCCAAACTTGTTTTCTTGGATTTACCTGATTTAATCTTCACATCGCTGCTTATCTACAACTTCAGAATCTTTGAAAGGCGATTTGGTTCAAGAAAATTTGTGGTATGATTACAGCCTTACTAAAATGCTTTGCACATATTTTTTCAAAAAACCATATGCTTTTGTGTCTTGTTTTTAAAGTATAAAAGAAATTTTAAAACATACTATTTCTTTTTGTATCTTATTTATTGAAAACTTTAAGATTTGAGAACATTTTCTTTCTTTCAGTCTCACCTATTGGCTACTCTGATTTTGAGCAGTTTGTTGGAGCTGGTGGTTTTTTCAGTTCTCAATAAGCTGGACATCAGATTAGGAGATATGCCAACTGGCCTGTAAGCTTTACACACTACATTACCTTAGCACTCATTCACCTTACTATTAAGTATGATTTATGAGTGATTGGAAAAACACTGGGCATTACCAAAAACTTTTAAAAATTTTAAGCTTTGATACAAAAGTATCTTCTACCTTGTGGGGGAAGGGTGCATTAGAAAACATAAAGGACATCTTTGAAGGTTCACATAGAGGCCACTGACTGAGCTATGGTTGGCTCAGTTGGTGTTGTCACTGAATCTCCTGAAGCAGGTTGGGAAAGTTCCTTGGTTTTCTAATCTCAGAACTCTTTTGATCCCATTGATCATAAAAAACAACCCTCAAGATGTTAAGTTAATTTTTTTCTTAAAAGTTTGAATCCAATATTTAAAAAAAAATCTGAATTAAAAATGTTTAAAATATTATCACATAAAATATTTGACTTTTGCTGTTATGATTTATTAAAATTGTGAATTAAAAAATAGCAAAGTGTTTCTTAATTTTGATTCCATTAACGTTTTAAAAGTATATTCAAACCAATTTTTAAAGAGCTTTACTAAATTCTATTTACAGATTCAGCCTGGCTTTCCCGCTGTATGTCCCTTTTTATTGTACAGTACCCAGAGTGGCACTGATCAGTTTAATGGGTGTGCCAGTTACTGGTAAAACACTTAACTACATCCTCGGACTGCAAATGGCCAGCTCTAAAGTGGAGAACATGCTAGTAGTTTCCTGCGCAATTGTAAGAACTTAATCTTTACCAGTACATTATGCATGCTTGCATTGGTAGCTGTTTAGTTAGAATTAAATGAATGGTCAACATGTTTTATTTGTTGAAAATTTTAACTACTTAAAAATAAAAATTTAGTTTCTTGTCCTATGTTTATGCTTTTTTTAAATACAATATTTCTCTCTAGTTAGTTTAAGTTTAAGAATTATTATCAATTTCATTTTTAGGTAGCTGGGATGCTATGGAGAATCAACTTTTTGAAAATTCAAAATTTCCTTCAAGTACCAAAACTTGTGGGTAATCAGTTTGACTACTGCTTGGGTCGGTATTTAGAATCACCTGACTCACAAACCACATCATTGCCCATGGGAGCAACTTTAGAACTTCAGCAGAGGGAGAGGCTGGACAGACTGGAGCAGCAGATGATGTTCTCAGCCATACAGTCAAGCAGAAGAATGGATATTGGTAGACCACAACCCTTGGTAAGGGCTATACAAAGTTTAAAATGACCAGGGCATTCAATGTTACTTAAACTCTTAAACTACTACTTTGCTAGAATCACTACCTTAACCTTGGCTCCCAGTCTAATCCTGATCTTACACTTTCAATAAAAGTAAGACCAGTTAAAACTCAATTTCATATTATATATTTCAACAGAATTTGGGCAATAGCATATTTGGTAACTTAAATGTTAACAGAAACCCAGGACCAAATTTACAGCCAACAACCAGTAAGCTATTTTCATTACCTTGCATCATGTTAAAAAATAATTTAAACAATTTTATTCTTTAAGTTCTAAAATCGTACACATAACTTACACTTAGTACTATTTTTTAGATGATGCAAGCTTGGTAGACACTACTGAGAGTGTTGTTTCTGAAGATCAGGTTAGTTCTTTTTAGTATTGAGTATATTGAAAATCAATAGAATAACTTTAACAAAAGTTCTAAATTTTATTTCTTGAGAAATAGTTTTAAAATTACAAAAACGATACTGGTATCTGCCTGAATAATATGAATCTTATATTGTATCGTTATTTATTTAGGTACAATTAACTGATATATTAATTGTTTATTTATATTATTGATGTATTTGATTTTCCACATAATTCTATAGTTAAAAAAAAAGATAAAATATTGAGGAAAAGTTTAATTAATTTTTTTGTTAAAAAAAAATGTTCAGGTAAAACAGTTTGTTGAAATGGGATTCAGTGATGCAAGGGCTAGACAGGCACTTCGGTCAGCAAATAACAATCCAAGGCTGGCCACCAATTTTTTGCTGCAGGATATGTGATGGAAAATTATGTCTAAAATGATTACCCAAGCTTGCATGCTGTGAAGTGTATTTAAATATTTTCATTGTTACATAATGAAAATTGTGTTCTTGATCGACAAGTGGTCATTAATGCATGATGTGAGATTCATTGTCGCTATAGTTTAGGATAAACAAACATAGCGATTCAGAATGTTTTAAGTTAAGTTGGTTTTATCGAAATTTAATTAAGTTTTTTAAAAACATTTTCTTTTCCAAAATAAATTTGGATCTTGTGTTATGAACTTAGTTAGTAGACACTATTCATCATCTTGGAATCTTTTTCTTTATAAGTTCCCATTATAATTTAATTATCACTCTGTTTCAAATCTAAAATAAATTTGTAGTAAAAAAAATTAAAATATTTTCTTAGCCTTTAACTCACAGGTCCAACCAAACTTTAACTTTCATGCAGTTGTTTAATCTTAGCAGGATAGACTTAATAAAACTGACCAGGGTAAATTGAGGAAGATATATGCTGCTACATAACACATCTTTATAAACACAAAAGTAAGATGTTCTGTTTACAAGCAGTTGAAGCTCTAATTTTTTCAGTCATTTTAAAATTAGGCAGCCTTGTGTGAATGTGTGGGTAGTTGTGTCATGTCTTGGCCATATGTTTGTTGGATAATTTGTAATCCCTGACCTCACTATTCTAATACTTTAACATACTTACTGATGTTAAGCAGGGCAACAATGACTCAATGTTATGTCTTAGCTGAAAAGCTTGTATTGTACAGTCATGTCTATTTTTAAAGTTTATTATTTATTTCATGAAACTGCTCACCTTAGATGGAACATGAGTCTTTTTGCAAAGATTTTTCAAAGAGTTTTCTATTAAACTCAATCTTTAGCCTTTTGTTTTGAGTTTGGGTGTAACTGCAATATTTAAAAAAAAGCTATTAATGTTTTTTAGTTTCTGAAACCTTCATGACTTCTTCATTAGCTATTTAATAGACTGTGAAAACATCCCAAATTTAAAATACTTTAACTCTGAGGTGGCTGTTTTTTTACATGATTATTTTAAGACCCTGAAACACATTTGGATTTATCACTTCCCTTAATTTAATGTATTTTAAAAGCAGAAACATTGAACATACTATAACCATGTTAAAATAATACAATCAAATTAACCAAAGAATAGCTTTAAAACTGGGGGGAAAACTGTAAATTCCACCAATATTGAACAAATCTAGTCTTAAACAGGGCTAAAGAAAGAGTACATTTAATAATGGTAACCGAAATAGAATGCAAAGAAAATAGATCCACTGTCAAGATGAGTCAGTTTTGAGTGGCCACTGGTCAACAAATTCTGATTGGAATGCTTTGTTAAATAAATATTTTAGTTATATGCTTAATCAATTGAAGTATTTTCATAATTATGTTTTGAAAATGTTATATATTTATATATTGTTAAAATAGCTGCCTTGTTAAACTATATTAAAAATAGTTTTTTTTGCTTTTCGTTGCCTGAAAGCTTTGGCATATCATGTGTATATATAAAAAAATCTACTGACATTCCTTAATAAGAATTAAGAATAATTTTGATTAACTATTTAGTTGTAATCTACATCTTGACAAGATGTTTTGTTAAAAATAAGACCAATAATTTTTAAATCAATAATTATGTTCAAATGGCATAATACAGAAATAAGCTCTTGCATAATGGGAATATTATATAATATAGCCTGAACTTAAAAAAAATGTAATGTGGAAATGCATTTTATTAGATAAAGTGGCCAGACTTTTTGATTGATTATTGAGGTTCACATGAATTTAAAGCATTGTTTTGTTAATAGTGAGACTTGAGTAATTTTAAATTCAGCTGTGTGCCAAAGTATTTAACTTTCCTTAAAAGATCACTATAAATATCAATGTTTTCTTTTCTGCTGTGTCAATTTTAATTAAATTAATTATTGATTCTATGTTCTAGTTTGTCACTTGGTTTATTATTTAAGAAAAACAGAAACTTTTGAAATATGTATAAATAGTTAAGCTTAAAATAAGTTCTTTTATTTATATCTAAAGCTATCTAAATGTAATGGTGCTTCATGCAGTGTCCCTTGTTATTTACAGTCTAATCCTAAGTTAGAAAATGTTTACCTGTTTTTTTGTGTTAAGATCATATTCTGATAAAAATCACAGTATTTTAACTTTAACAATAATAAAAAAAAATATTCCTAACATTATTAAAGTCACTGAATAATAACATCTATAAGAAATTATGTTAGGAAATATTGTTCTTTTTTTGGATGCAAATTTTACATAATTTTAATCTTTTCAGCAGCTGAGCTTAAGTATATGTTTATGTACAAAGCAACAGCATAATAAATAAGTGTTAAATTGTTGCTGAACTAGAAACTCCACACAATTATCTAAAAGATGTGTTTGTTTTGAGATTTTTAAAAATTCACCTGATTACAACTGTGTGAATATAAATATTTACAAACATGCCAGGTGGATGCTGGTGTTTTTTTTACACTGCTTGTATGAAACTCTGGGTTGCCAGATGTTGATAACTCTGCGACATGTGTCATCAAGAAATATTATCTTTAAATGATATTTTTCTTCTCTAATTTAACATGACACTTCTTCTTGTTTATTAAATATGCAGAATATTAAGAAAAAATGTGTTACTTATTTATACAAGTATGAAACGTTGATTGTGATTGTAAATTGTGCTTTTAGAAATTGAAGTACAAAGAAAATATAAATACTTGTATATTCTAGTTCCACAGCAAAGTCTAAAGAACACATGAGTAAAATCACAATTTAAAAAGATTAGTTGGTCCTCTATTTGAAGCTTTAAAAGTTGAAATAAAAATGCTACAATTTTCTGCTGGTCAAAATCTACTTAAAAAAAGGCCTTGAAGAGTACCAAAAATGCATCAATTATAAATTTTTTACCAATGATAGAATCATATTAAGTACTGGTTGGCCTAGGATATCACATTGATCAACCAAATCCATGCATCTAACCAGCATGCCACTGTAAGTACTTGACAACTTGTTGCACCAGTCAGTGGAAAAAGTGACGGCTGCTTACCCTGAACAAGCAAACAATGAAGTAGTGGACTTAAAAGTGTCCTACTACAGCAGCTGGCACTCAAGAGGTCAAACTTCAAAATCGGGCATAGGCTGCATTATTGAGTATCGCTCAGGACTTGTCAGCTTTGAATGCCTATCCAAGCAGGCAGTTGTCACAATGTGGTCATTGAGTCATGTGCCCATGGTCTCAGCTACCGTTCTGTAGTGTCAGACAGTAACACAAACACCATCAAGGCCATTCACAAGGCAGACCCATGTCCTGGCTTATTCAGGCAAACTAAGGAATGAATAAAGGATGTTGCTAAGTGGTTGATCACTGTTTTGCCCAACAAAGTGAACAGGAACAAAACACAAAATAATCCTAGGTGGTCGAGGCTTGGGTCCCCTAACGCAGGACAACTTTAAAAAACATACTACACAAAGGGTGTCAGATCTAACTATAATGTGCCAGACATGCAGCAAGCAATCTGGCAGGTTTTTGGCATTATATAGAAAATATATACTTTTGATAGTGTCAACCCCCCCCCCCCCCCCGGGGAAAAAAGTCTGGAAGAAACACTGTGGCCAAAGGTGTTGGTTGCTTTTCCTAAACACACAGGTTCAGCACACCTGAATCCTGTTGTGGCAGGTTATGTTCAGAAAGTTAACAAAAACTAATATTCAAGGAACTTTTACAGCAACTCAAAATGTGAATGAAAGCATTTACTCATTTGTCTGTTCCAAGGCCACACCTAGTGGCAACTGTTACTGTGGTGGTTGGAGAATTTAACATGGGGTCCAGGTCCTCATGGGAATATTTGTTGCTTTTAGGGTTATCTTTAGGACATGAGACTGAAGAACTGGGGCGGCAATTTGACAACATTAGGGTTGTGAAAGCAGAGATTGCTGTTAGGGTGTTAAAAGAAGGAGAGGATAATTAGGAATGTTGAAAGAAGGAAAATAGATTTGTTTTGATAGAACATGGGGGTTAGCAGAGGGTTCTACTAAGTTTAAAAAAATTTACTGTAGGAGCAGCATATTTCATTTCATCTGTTATGTTGGGGATTTTAAAAAGTATTTTTTTTTTAGCAGTAAAATATTAAGTTTTGTAGCTAGTCTTGAAATGTGGCGTCCTGTCTACTAAATTGCATGTCTAAGTTTGAATGCCATTCAATTATACGTTTTTACAAAAAAAAATTCTACTCCAAGACACCTATGTCAAAATAAGAGAGCGCACTTATGTTTTTGTCAAGTATTTTTTTCCTAACCACAGCTTAAATTATTTAATATACATACTGCTAAATGTGTGTGCAAAGTTTAATTAATAGTCTCCAAGTACATTCAACTTTTTTTTTTTTTTGTGAATTTTAATATTTGTATCAAATGAATTTATTTTCTTCAATAAAAGTATAATATATATTTATATTTTTAACAATGATGCATTATAAAAATCTTATTGTTGGTTTGTTGTTACTATAGATATAGTTTTTTAAGATGAAATTCAGAAAAAAAATCCACACCATCCTCTGGGAGTTAAAAATACTTGAATGGCGATACGCGAACTCGGTTTTGACCATAATTATGTAGATTTTTATCGAGATCTAGTGTTTTATTTTCGAAGGCGAAATTTTGAGCTATTCACCGCCTTTAAAAATATTGGTTTTATGCATGACTGCCCTTACACCGGTGGGTCTGACCGGATATCCGAAAATCTTGTTTATCATGTGATAAATTATATTTTAGAAAAATGGCATCAACTCTTCCGATCATCGTTTTATTTGTTTTAAATGTACTAGGTAATGTGAACTTATATCTATATATTTTAGCAATTTATTGAACTTAAATAACTTGAAAGGTTTAATAAATTTGACCTGTTAGCTATGCAAACCTAATTAGATTTATTCTTGGGTAAACTGCTGTGGTTTTCATAGCTTTCTTCTTCGACTTTTTCTCAGCTGATCCTTTTGTTTGTTTTTGTCACTAGTGACTTGAGTTCGTTGCACTGTAACTTGGTGGTGCGTGACATTCTCTTGCCCTTGTGAATATTACTAACTGTGTAGTAGTAAACAATGGGCTTTTACAATTTTATTTTTAAAATGACGTTCTTGATAGGCCCCTAAGTAAGGTCTAGTCTAAAAACTCTAGTTAAAAAGTAAAGTATGAGTAGTTGAGTTAGATCTAGTTCAGTAGTTAAATCAATATTCAATAGGCCTAATCATCCTAATGCATTCAATTTAGTTAGGCCATAGGACTAGTCACAAGTTTAAACATTTAAAAAAAATTGTTCTGCAATCATACTATTACTATTTTAGCATTTTTTGGGATGGGGGGGGGGGGGTCCTCCCAATAAGTATAATAATGATCATAATGTACTTAATGTAGGCCTATAACTATAAAAACAAGCAAAACGAATTTCAGACTTTAAATGTCAGGAAAAACAACAATTTTAGAGCTGGTATTTAGAAAAGTCCTATTTTGCAATGAACTTGAGTGGTTTATTTGAAGCCTTAACTCAAAGAATTAGAATAGCTTTAGCTTTGGCACTCTTGCTGCATAATTCATTGCATAGGGCCTAAAAATTGTAATTTTTTTTAGCTGTTCATCTTGTCTATTTGTCCTATCACATAGGACTATGAGTTGTTTCTTTATTACATTATCTGTAGCACTTGCTATGTCAGACATATGGTCATCAGAATCAGTTTCCAATTCAGATTGACAGTAATCTTCACCTGACTCCACAAACCAAAGCCATTGCTTGTCCCAATGACAATTGTTTAGAATGCAGATTTTTGTCACTCTCAACCCATATTTTCATCATAAATTTTAAATGAAAAATAAAAAAATTAATTTGTTGGCCCCACTATGACATGAACTCACCAGTAAGCAAATAGTACTTCTTACATATGTTTTGACAACATTTTCCTTATCTTGTTGTCTGTCCTGCAACTAATCAAATACTTTTTTTATTCATTGTTTACAGTAGTTCATACAGATGGTCAGCAGTTTCATGTGAAGCATGCTCCACCATATGTTGTTTTCCAGCAGCAGTCACCAGACTCTCCTGTCAGTTCAAGCAATCTTCACAATGTTTTGTCAGGACCCCTAGGCTTAAGCAGAGTAAGTACTGAAATGTATTGTTAGAGAGAAAAATATTTCGAAATGTTCAACAGATATTGCCAAACTTTTTTTTTTGAAAAAGCACATTTTCTTACTGGTTCTCCTATATTTTGATAATTAAATCTGTTTTCTTCTTTTTTAGAATGGCGCACTTCTACATTCCAAATCAGTTTTGAAAAGACCTAAGGCCAATGTTCTAATCACCATTGTCACTCACGACAATCAGAACCTACCAGTAGACAGCCTAGCAAGTTATAAATTAGACTGGGTATGTCTTTGTTCATAATCATGGTGTATCACATAAAAAATACCAGCAGTCTAGAGTGATCAATCTAAAAATAACATCAATTGTTGAAAGTTTATACATTTTCATCTATGCACAGGATGTTCCATTTGTTGATGTGGAGTATATGATGAACAACCTGCAGAGCAAATTTATTGACAAAGATCCACTTATGTTGGATATAGTATCTGCTAACAAGGTGCAGTGGGTTTTTTTTACTACTGTAGACTACAATGTTGTCCAGCAGCAAATTTATTGGAGAAATTGACTACTAGTTCTTCTATTACTTACATTTTTATTAACAACATAAACTGATGTAGTCGTACTATAATTGTTTTAGTTGTTTTTAACTTTACTGGCAATCCAGAGCTTTCCTTTGTTAAAATCTGTATAAAAGATGGATAGATTGTCTATCCAACCTTTCTTTTTTATAGCAATACATGGTAGCTGTTTTAAAATCTATATGACATCTATTTTTGACTCTCTACCCAGTTCTTTGATGTGAAGACTAGCTCCTCCCTGTTTGAAAGCCTCCCTACCACTCTGGATTCTGCACGAGAAAGATTGCTTGACACCGACTCCATCCTAAAGAACCAACTGGGGTCTTTGAACTACACCCTAAACTCAGATGGGAAATTATTGGGAGAAATTCAAGTTCTCTATGATGCTGTTAAAATTGTAAGTATACTAATTTCTTGCTATATTTTATATGTTTATTTATGGATAGTTCCCTGATTAACCATTAATGTCCCATTCATTCTACCAAAACTCCACCAATGACGGCCCAATGTAAGGAGCATAACTCTGTATGATCAAATGAATAGTTTCACAAAATATTTGTTTTTGTCTAAATGAAATTGAAAATTAAGATAAAAAGTACTGCTTAATGTTGGGAATAAACCTGGCTTTCCAACAGTATTAAATAGAATATATAATATTCGGTACAAGTACAGTATAAAAATAAAAAAATGTCGGAGAAAATTCAAAACAGGTCATTTTCGGTAGTCAACTTTATTTTTGTCTAAACAACTATGAATCGAATTTAACAGTTTAATATCAATTTGGTTATGTTTAACCATTAATGTCCCATTCATTCTACCAAAACTCCACCCATGACGGCCCAATGTAAGGAGCATAACTCTGTATGATCAAGTGAATAGTTTCACAAAATATTTGTTTTTGTCTAAATGAAATTGAAAATTAAGATAAAAAGTACTGCTTAATGTTGGGAATAAACCTGGCTTTCCAACAGTATTAAATAGAATATATTATATTCGGTAAAAGTACAGTATAAAAATAAAAAATGTCTGAGAAAATTCAAAACAGGTCATTTTCGGTAGTCAACTTTATTTATTTTTGTCTTAACAACTATGCATCGAATTTAACAGTTAAATATCAATTTGGTTATGTTTAACATATATAATTCATAAAATACATGCCTAGATACGTTTAGAGGCATTAATTTTTTTTATTTTTAATATTAAATCTACTAAAAATACGACAGATGAGTCGAAAATTTCGAGATAGAAAGAAACTATTATTTTTTATCTTTCAAAAGCGCCATTGAAATTACAAGACCGGAAAAGGATGCTGAAACCATCCGACTTCCTGTTTAGTTAAAAATTAGGATTTGTAGGCCAAATTTTAATGAAACAAATTTAATTTTTCTATGCGTATTGTAAGCGGATGGCAGCGGGCGTTACGGGACATTAACTGTGTCGGGCGGCAGCGGGCGTTACGGGACATTAATTGTTAATGAAAATATTAAACATTTTTATTATTGATGTTGAGCTGCTTTTTTCAAACTTTTGTTTGTTTTTTTTGCTTCGCAGCTAAAGGGAAGTGCAGATAACCTGAAATCAAAAACCCCAGATCTGCTGTCCTTCACCTTTACAGGTTTGAAAGACATTGGGGAGGAGTATGGTGTAAATTCAGATCAAGTTAAGGATGCAACAAAATTCCTTACAAAACACTTGGATGCAGTAAGATTTTTTCTGATTGAGTATGATAAGAAAGAAATATTTAGGAAGTTCAACATACTTCTTTTTTATAAAATAATTAATCATCTTGTCCCTTCTGTGCCCACTGCCCAGGACACATGGGTCTGCCAATGTTTTAAATATTTTGTGATATTATTTTATAGGTGACAGATGATCTGAAGTCATATTATAAGGGGAATGTGATGATTGAGTTTATTGTAGTCCCAACAGTGGAGAAACCTTTTGTCCGCAAGACAAGAAGTCTCATGGCAGATGTACCAAAGGATGGGGTATGCTCAAACCTATTTTAACAACTATTTTAAAATGAAAGTTGAATTTAGTGTTGAATTGCCATGTTTTTTCCATTGTAAACTAACATTCACTTTACAAAATGTTTAAGGTATTGTTGTATTTGTTTTTTATTTGTGAATTTTTTATATACTGACTGTTTATGCATCAGATTTTTACCCCAAACCATTGTCTGATTTCCAGGGCAACCCACTAAATCTGGAGATAGACTGGGATCAAGATTTCCCAGCCAGCTTCAACATAGTTCTCTGGCTCATGATCGTGTTGTCTATCACAGTTTTCTTTGTTGCTTATGGTATCTGGAACATGAATCCCAACCTCGAGTCCATCCTCTACAGAGTTCCACAGGATGAGCTAGCAAAGAAGATCAATTAATTTCTTGAAGTAGACTAGCAGTTTCATTTTAGGCTTTAAAACATGGACCGTTTCTTTTTGTAGAACCTAATATCCTTTTATTTTTATGTTAAAAAATTGGGTTGCATGTTGATCAGTTCTCAAACTTATTCTTGAGTCAAATTGTTTAAAATTGCAGAAATTAATATTTTAGACTGCTAATGCTGCAATCTCATTTTTTAAAACTGTCTTTGTGAAATCTGGAGTGTTATGTATCAAGTAAAGGGTATGTAAATTAATGTTATAAATAGTCAAGTCCTTCCTAAATCTTTTCATTCAGCAAACACTGTAGATGAATTTTGTGAATAGAGCACAATTTTTTTTTTTAAACGGGGTAACTGTCAAGTAAGGTTCCAAAGTTATTTTTAAAAAAAAGGTCTGTGATTGCGGTTGAAAATATTTTGAGTTAAAAATGTGTGTGTATAGAAATTACACCAGCTGTATATTAAATATGTAATTTAAAACATTATTTCCCGTTCATTAAATTTTTTCTTTTGTCATTGTTTAATTGAAGCGTTTAAAATGTGTGGTAAGAATACAGATGTAGTATATCATCACCTTTTTTTTTGTTTGGAGTATGCATGAATGACTGACAAGAATTGGTTGTAAATCACCCATTCAAGGAACTTTTTTTTTTTACATTCCAGTGACAACTGTAATATTTTGTTCATGGTTGCAATTCTTGTAAGGTTGACAGAATGTGTGTTAATGTATACATTAAATGTAGAAATATTAACCAAGGTATTTAGCAATTTTTTTTTATTTGTTTGATTAGCCACATCTATGTAAACTGTGATTTTTTTTTTATATTTTAAATGTTAAATTGGCTAAAGTGTAGAGTTCCAGTGGTGTTTAAGAGAATGATTACTGAATCTATAAAATGGAATTTTTGTAGATTGTCCATGACTTTCATGCTCCATTAGTAAAGGATAAGATTTATTTATATTGATGTTTTGTATATTAGTCGGATATTTATTTGTACATGTATCAAAAAAGCTAATAAATTTTCATTGATTTATTGATAATTAGTGCTTTTATTTTCTGTCTCAAGATAATGAGTTGGATGGTATGAAGGAATAAAGTTTTTATTTGGTTGTAATGTCTCAGCTGTGTTAAATATCCCTTATATCAGATACTGATCTAAAGGACCTTGGTGCCTATATAAAAGTAGATGCACAGACAAATTTATAAGGAAGGTAAAGCTAAATAATTTGATTTTATTACAGGTAGATTTATTGCATTGCTGTTGCGAAATTTACACCATGAGTACCATGTTTTGATGTTAAATATTTTGGTAAATGATGTTCATCTTAGAAGACCATTCATTCACTAAGCAATCAATATAACTTCACAATTTTGTTTAAAAAATAACTTGCAAATATAAAGCCAAAGTCATGTAGAAACTTATTCAACTAATTATTACACGATTGTAGTTCTATTTTCAGTTAGATGGTTCTGTTTAAATTAACAAAGGTAAAAAAAAATATACTCAAGCTGAGGCTTTGAACTTTTTTATACCTCAAATACATTACAACAGGAACTTAAATTTTACATTAATTTATATATAACTTTTTTTGGTATGGTTGTCTTAATATTTTATAAATTGTCAAAAGAATCTACTACCAAGTTTAAAATCTATTCAGATTATTTTTAAAAGTGAGTACTTCAATAAATTATTGTTGAAAGAAAATGGCAGGAAAAAAGCCTGCAAGGTAAGTAAATCTCAAATTCCGTGTTACTTTCAGACATTTCCTTGGGGGGGGGGGGGGGAAGGGTGACACAAGTAAAAGTAGCATATATAATATATTTTCTATATAAATTCCATTTTGTCCGGGATTTGGCTGTATTAATGCTTCGCTTCATCCGAAGACATTGCCTTAAATTAATTACTGATTACATTGACACAACAAAAGCATGAAAAAGGCTGTTTTAAACAATTTTCGCAGAGCGATAGGTTACAATCTTCATCACTCTTTCAAGTAGCAGTACATAGTAAGTACATACATAGCTTAACTTGAAACTTGGATAACTAATAAATAAGAACTAGATCTAGTAGCCTATATGACTATATGGACACAATCTCACATCTTTTTATACAATATATTTTAGTTTTACTTACATTAACAGAAAGATAACTATATTTTGTTATATAGCCTTACATAATTAATTTTGTTGACTTTAAAATAATGTAATTATGAGTTTTCTCCCTTAACCTATTTAAACAATGATCAGCTGCAGGAAGCTGATTCCGGAAGTGTGTTACCTACCTTACCATCTATGGATTTGAAAGAAAGTTACAGCACATAGACGAATTTCATGCGGGATATAGATCTAATAATTTTTAAAACTGAACTTTAACAGACGTTTTGCTCGTTTACAGACGTTAAAAATAAATCTAATTGTAACCATGGAGACTGTTCAATATACGTGGTGTTTACGTTAGCAGTGGTGTTGCAATTATTTCGTGTTGTATTTGTAGTTTCAGTTTTGTTCTACATAAGATCACAAATGCATAGTTTCTTTCAGACATTTTTCAGGCACTCGAGGAGGGGGACTGACAGTAGTTAAAGTAGGCCTATATATTTTCTATAGGGTTATAAATGATATACTTTGTCAATGCCCCCCCCCCCCCCCCGACAGATAGGCCTACCCGAAAAAGCTCTGAGCAAGGCCACAATAGTATTAATACTTTTTACAACCAACATAATGCATCATATTCAAACACTATAGCTTGTAACAGGTCCTAACTTTCAAGATAACAACATTTCGGCTCACATGGTATCGCCCCGGCTTTCATCAGGCAAACGTGTAACATAAAGACCGAAAGGTTCTAACCAGTGTTTCTTTCCGAGTTTTTTCTCCGGGAGAGGGGGTGGGGGCGCACAACAATTTCCAGGGGGAGGGGTGGCACTGGAAAATTACACGTTTTCTATATAATTTCCATTTCGTTCGGGGTGGGGGGGGGGGGGGAGGAGCGGTATACTTTCTAACGAAAAGAAAGAATTGATCACACTACCATCACTTAGAGAAAACTTTCCTAAACTAACTCACAGTACGTACATGTTCTGATCCAACATTCCGTCCTCACATCATCCACCGTCTCAAAACTCTCGCCCATAAATCAGCCACCATGTCCACGTGTTTGAAGCCTGGTCCTGTAAGTCACGTACCTACCCCGACACCAGACATTCTGAATCTAACCCCCCCCCCCCCTTCTCAGTACGGTATTGTCACCCCCCCCCCCCCGTAAGTCTCATTTATAATGTAGTCCTACAATTACCCTACACGCTTACTGCTTACACTTACATCCTATTGACCGAGATAATATAATTTTTGGGATTGGGGGTTTCAGTTCACACAACTTTTAAAGGGGGGGGGGGGGGGGGGGGCTATTGGTGGGTGAGGGGGGGGTGGAGAAAGGTAAAGTCTCAATCACCCCGCCCCTCTAAAAATAAATCTAATGATTTTTAAAAAAATTGAACATAATAAATAAAAATAAATTTTACGTCACATTTAACTAACCACTCCCATCTTTGACGGAATACATACTCTGAAATTTTAAAATAAAAATGTCATCTCTTTTATTGAAGATGCTACAAGACCAAAAAAAAAAAAAAAAAAACTTAAGTTGCTTCATTACCTCAATGCACACAGGTGATTTTTAAATTGTTAGATTAAAAAAATAACGACACCAAAAATCCGAAAAAAAAAACCGATTGGAGGCTATATATGAGTCTTACCAGATTTTTGTGCGAATTCATCCACAGAACTGTCACGGTGTATAAAGGAACACAAATAAACATACGTGTGAATTCCATTTGTTTGTTGAGTTGCGAATCCATCCTTCCTTTGCCACAAGTAAAATCATGCCGATTTACAGAAGGACCTACACATGTTGAGTAGGCTCGTTCAATGATTAGTGAGGATTTGCATAAGGTAATTAAATACTCCCACACACTTAATTGAACTGTTTAAAAGGAGATAGAGTTCATTACGAAGTTATACATTGCTAATTACTGCCACATCAACTAAATAGGCCTACAATTTAAAATTCAAATTAACTAAACAATACATCAATTTTACACACGTAATAAAAAAGTGAAACATTAATGTAAACATTAGATTAAAAAAAGGAAAAAAAGCTTCAACAAAACTTCTAAGGCTACTTGTTACACTTAAAATATAAAATGTTCATTTTCTACACTTAGGCTGAGTGATATTTTTAGAATGCGTCACTTCCATCATTGATCGCGATTGGCCTTTACGATCCCCATCGATTGTTGCTGCTCTCTGTCGACTGTCGACCGTATACGTCGTCTTCCCGCTGTATCGAGTGCTAGAAAAGTTTGGTTGTGCCAGTTGTAGTTCGTAGTTCACACGTAGTTTAACAGTCCTATGTGTCTTAGGAAAAAAATCAATTCATACTCATGTTCGTGAGGTTTTTTTTCCCCGTTGTAAAAAATGTAAGTCGATTAGAGGTGGACGGAAAAAGGAAGCACTCGAGTAAAGCGTTAGTCTTTTCGGTAAAAACAAAATTTAGAAGTAGACTCCGATTTTGTGTGTGAGTCTATAGAACTTCCGGCGAACGCAGTATCCGGTAGAGGGCGGTGCTTCTTGTTGAAAGAAAACTCGAACATTTTCTTTTCGGTAATCCACGCCTGCTGCTCACGTTTGACCGAGTAAAGGACTAGATCACCAACTAAATGACGTTTGGCCGAGTGAAGGACTTCATAACGAAGTTGGGACGAATAATGGACTTCATCACCAACTGAATGACGTTTGGTCGAGTGAGGGACTTCATAACGACGTTTGGCCGAGTGTGGGTTTTCATCACCAACTGAATGACGTTTGACTTCATAACCAAATGAAGGACGTTTGGCCGAGTGAAGGACTTCATCACGACGTTTGGCCGAGTGAAGGACTTCATAACCAAATGAACGACGTTTGGCCGAGTGAAGGACTTCATAACCAAATGAACGACGTTTGGCGGAGTGAAGGACTTCATCACGACGTTTGGCCGAGTGAAAGACTTCATCACGACGTTTGGCCGAGTGAAGGACTTCATAACCAAAAGAATGACGTTTGACTTCATCACCAACTGAATGACGTTTGACTTCATCACCAACTGAATGACGTTTGGCGGAGTGAAGGATTTCATCACGACGTTTGGCCGAGTGAAGGACTTCATAACCAAATGAACGACGTTTGGCCGAGTGAAGGACTTCATAACCAAATGAACGACGTTTGGCCGAGTAAAGGACTTCATCACCAACTAAATGACGTTTGGCCGAGTGAAGGACTTCATAACCAAATGAATGACGTTTGGCCGAGTGAAGGACTTCATATCCAAATGAATGACGTTTGTCCGAGTGAAGGACTTCATCACGACGTTTGGCCGAGTGAAGGACTTCATCACCAACTGAATGACGTTTGACTTCATCACCAACTGAATGACGTTTGGCGGAGTGAAGGACTTCATCACCAACTAAATGACGTTTGACTTCATCACCAACTGAATGACGTTTGATATCATCACCAACCAAATGACGTTTGACTTCATCACCAACTGAATGACGTTTGATATCATCACCAACTGAATGACGTTTGACTTCATCACCAACTGAATGACGTTTGATATCATCACCAACTGAATGACGTTTGACTTCATCATTAACTGAATGACGCTTAACTTCATCACCAACTGAATGAGGTTGGACTTCATCACCAACTGAATGAGGTTTGATATCATCACCAACTGAATGACGTTTGACTTCATCATTAACTGAATGACGCTTGACTTCATCACCAACTGAAAGACGTTTGACTTCAACAACTGAATGACGTTTGACTTCATCACCAACTGAATGACGTTTGGCCGAGTGAAGGACTTCATCACCAACTGAATGACGTTTGACTTCATCACCAACTGAACGACGTTTGATTTCATCACCAACTGAATGACGTTTGACTTCATCACCAACTGAATGACGTTTGACTTCATCACCAACTGAATGACTTTTGACTT